TCTGGAAGACATTTTGGGCAATAGCACTAAATATGGAGCCCGCGAGGTTCTGCATGAAGATCACGACCGCCGTAGCTACTGGCACATCGGCTGTAGGGACGTCAGCCTGGATGACCAGCAGAGGTAGCTGGTATCCCAAGCCAGATCCCATTCCGATCATTGCCTGATATCCAATCCATTCAGAAGATCCTGAGTTGCGCTGGAAGGTCGAGCAGAGACCGGCACCCGCAGCCAACATGACTGATCCCAAGACTAGGAATGGCATCATGTATCCCACCTTTGTGATTAACGCGCTGGATAGAAGGCCGACCACAATCGTTCCAACCACGGTAGGCAGATTCATAATGCCGGACTGGGAGGCCGACACGCCCTTGACGGACTGGAACCATATGGGGAGCTGTTATTTCTTGCGTTAGTTCTTTTCCATGCCACGGGGGAGACTGACATACGTAGTATCCGAATACTATCACACAGCCAACGAAGGGGATGGTGTAGATACAGGTGCCAACTACGCTCCGTCGCTGCATCAGTCTCGGGGGGATAGTGGCGGCCTCCTGCTTCCAGCGTTGGATCAACAGCCACACCGTTCCCAGCACTCCGGCAATAATGAATAGCATGATGATCCGCACATTCTGCCAGTTGTATCGTGCACCACCCCACTGAAGCGCCAGGAGCAGCGAAACAATCGCCGGGATGAAGACCACAGTGCCGATCCAGTCTAGCCCCTTGATTTTCTGACTGGTGGGTATATTCTCTTTCACCTTTATGTTTTTAAGGAAGAAAAAAACCACTACTGCGGTGACACCGCCGATGGGAAGGTTAATGTAAAAGCACCATCGCCATGACAGTCGATCAGTGAAGACACCGCCTAGTCTGAAGACGTTTAGTTAATGGATGCCAACAGGATAGAACTGACTCACAGGGGTCCAGCTACCGTGGCAATGCCCGACATGATGCCAATGAAAGCGATCAATAGCGGCCGTCGGTGCAGCGGCGCGATGTGGCTCAAGATGATCACCGAGCCAGGAAAGAGCCCAGCTGATCCCAAGCCCGCGATAGCCCTGCCTACGATCAATCCCGCCGAGGACGGGGTGACGGCGCAGATCAGCGACCCCAGTTCGAACAACCCGAGAGAACTCAGGTAGGTCATTTTGACGGAGTAGTGGGTGTAGATCTTGCCAAAAGCGAGGGTGAAGGCGGACGTGACCAACATATAGGCGCTGACATACCAGCTCATGTCTTCGAGGGAGTTGAACTCGGAGGTGATCTTGGGAATCGCCGTTGCCAGGATCGTATTATCCTAGTTCGAACATCAATAAGGTACCATCGCAGTCAACGGATGGACCAGGTCGCCTGGAACGACGGTTCGACTCACGAGTCCAACACAGAAGGAGCAGAGCGCGACTCCCAGGGTGATCAGAATAACGCGAATGAGACCCGGATACTCCACAGAACCATCTTGGATGTTGGTATCGAGGCTCTCTTGCTCCGGCGATTGCAGTCGTCGCCCATCACGAGACGCGGCCTCCTGCGAATAGTCCTGGTGCTGGAGTGTATCCAGCTGGATGTTCTCACTGTCCGGCATTGTGTGAAGGTCTGCGCGTGGCTCGTCTTGCCCACTGCCGTTTTTGTTACACCCTCAGAGACTCCGAGATCAGAAAAACAGTGTCAAAAATGGCGAGGCAAATGTGCAGGAATGCCCAAGGCTAGTTAAATTCCGACTGGGGGAGGTTAGTAGGCGATTGGGGGTTTCGACGTCGGACAGGGCTTTTCCTCGTCGCGCTTACCTCCTCTCCTGCAAGGGATAGGAAACTGGCTTGGAATTTTATTCAAGTTGGTCTATCTTGAGCGTGTCCTCCATTCCTCTATTCCAACGCGTTATTTTCGCTTCTGCTAGGTGAATTGCTTTTCTCAGGTGCCCTAAATGTTACACGCTACCTTAAACAGATTGCCTTAGGATATCTGACTACCTGATTGCCAGGCTCGTTCTCATTTATTTGCCGCTATTTTTTTTGCCTCTTCGTGAGAACCGCCCCTTTGTCTAGGATTGATATATAAACAGGGACTTAATTGAGACTTAGCAGGCGGACCGACTCCACGCTAGACTAGGGGTCATTAAATGGTTAAAATGATAGTAATGTATGCCGCTATTTCCACTTATGCGGTTAATTGACTGGAAGTCCATACAAGGAACATGGCAGACTTGGCGTGCTATCTCCACGGTGTCTAGCCAATTTAGCTGGCCCCTTTCATAAATTACCATTTAGTACGGATCATATTGTATCATTACAGGCTAGGATCGACCATCATGAGACGGCTGCAATATCCCGGCTATCGTTCAGGGAGTGGCGTCGCTAGCCATCTTCATTTCCTCACCTGATGCATGGTTAAGTGTCTCAGGCATGTGGGGGATAGCTGCAGCACGATGCAGCAACCCTCGAGCCTGTCCAACCTGACATGTCACGAGCTGCTCATACAGATTACCATACCCGCCAATGATAGAAAGACCATGTGCTCCTTTGCAGCCTGGAGGCCATCGATCTGTGGACACATCATAATTGTGTTAAAAAAACGGCATATGTGGCTACTGTAGTCTCGGCTGCTTCAGCTTGTGCATGGTGCTATTGCTGTCCTTCTGTCAGCCATTGAGCATATCCCTGCAAGCTACGAAAACGAGATCAGAATGCACCCCTCACCAGCCTATTGCATTGTCGGGTGCCCTTCATGGCCGAGCCTTTGGAAGATGTTAAAATATCGGACAGCCCTACTGAAGAAGAATTCTCGTTGTGACTTCAAAGGTAGCTGTAAACGGCCAGTACTCAGATTCGGCCCAATCATAGTCTGTCACTTAATCTATCGAGACCGACCGATTCTTTTTTTGGGGAAAGCATGTTATTCCTCGCTCCAGGATACATATTCCCCCATATGGCTACTCCTGTTATCGTCGCCCTCGATTTCGCACAGGCCGTGAAGGAGGGAGCGTATAGCTTTCTTGACCTCAAGGTCCCCCCAATCCCGAACCTTGCACCAGTCCAATCACCCTCAAGTGTATCAATTGGGACGACCGGTGCGAGAGGGGAACGGAATGAAGAGGTGAGTCTGAGGGCCCCTCTAGATGTCCTGCACCATTGCTGATGAGCCGGGGATATTAAGATTATTCGAGGGCCTTTGAATTACCTGCTCTCTCTTCCGGGCAAGGACATTCGAGGGAAGATGATTGATGCTCTGAATGAGTGGTTCAGGATCCCGGCGGACAAACTGAGTACTATCAAAGAAATTATTGTGATACTGCACACAGCGTCTCTACTGTGAGGCTACAATCCACTTGTGGAGAGAAAGTAGAGCTAACCTTGGCCGCTTCCAGGATTGATGACATTCAAGATTCATCCCAACTTCGGCGGGGAAACCCTGTGGCGCATAGCATCTTCGGTGTTGCACAGACAATAAATTCAGCGAACTACGCCTATTTCCTGGCTCAAGCGAAGCTAGCGGACCTCAATGATGGCCGCGCATTTCACATCTTTACGAAGGGGCTACTCAAGCTCCATCGGGGGCAGGGCATGGAATTGTATTGGAGGGACAATTTAATATGTCCCACAGAAGAAGAATACGTCGAAATGGTCTCTTACAAAACAGGAGGCCTGTTCTATTTGGCAGTGCAGCTGATGCAATTGAACAGCGAGGTAACAGTGTATGCCCACGTCCCTCTCTCATTCAACCAACACACACTGACACGCAACAGGGACTTTTCGAGCTTCATCAATCTGCTGGGAATCATCTTCCAGATTCGCGATGATTATATGAACCTTCAAAGCGAAACTCTGACCAAGACCAAGGGATTCAGTGAGGATCTGACCGAGGGAAAGTTCGGATATCCCATCATCCACAGCATCCATGCTGCACCCAGCAACCCACAGCTCATCCAAATCCTCAAGTTGAAGACCAATGACGAGGCGCTTAAGCAGTATGCGGTGCGTTATATGGAGTCCACTGGTAGCTTCCTTTATTGCCGAGAAAAACTTGACCTGTACCTGCAAGAAGCAAATGAGATTTTCCGGGGCTTGGAGATGTTGTTGGGCCCCTCGAAAGGAATCCGTGAGATTTTGGAATTACTGAGGACAAGGTAAAAATTGCGGTGCAGTTGATGATACTACTGCGAACATGTTATATCGATTAGAATAAACATGTCCCTTTTTTCATTTTGATGAGTTAGAAAATTTTTTCAACGTAGCTGTATAGTAATGACCGGCAGATCATCATATATATACCCTAGTACGTGAACGAGTCAGCCATGTCCGCACGAGACTCTGACGGTTTACTATATCAGGATGGATCTTTTCACGTATAATCTAATGTATCAGATCTGGATCTGCATCAACTATCGTGTCATGGATAATCCTCTCGACAATACTGGAACGATATATCAGTTGGTATGAATGAATCATCTTATTGACAATGACCACTGTGAATATCGGTGAGGAGCTCGAAACGAGCCAAATTAGAGTCATTGTATCTTACCTGGTCGGCAGACCTTACACCTGTATACTGTATACCCGGCACTGGATATTAGTGCCATCTTGTGCCACTCCCGCTCCTCAGGAGGAGCCAGAGCAGAACGTTCGGGACAGGCAGAGCCTAAAGCCTAACCATATTCCGGCCATGGCCCCCGGGCACATGGGTAAAAAAAGTCTTGGCCCCGAGGGGGGCAGATTCGAGGTGGCAGAAGGGTTACGTATTCGGAGAGCGAGCCGGCCACTCCAAACACATAGTAAATGCGATAAATTACAAGTTGATATCGCAACAACGGTAGTCTACATGGAGCTTTCCTTATAGATTCATATTTCTAAAGTGATATCAAGCATCTATATGGAATTTGAGGAAAGTTTAAGTCTTGATGCTTGCAACATATATATATCTAGTTTTTGGAAACTCAATTTTCGGTTACTTTTGAAATGATCATAGCAAAGTACGTGCTTCAGTTGCACAGTGACAAAGACTCGCTATAATTTCATTTTCCGCATTGGGTCCAGCAGAGTGCATCCGAGTCGGTGAGCAGGATCCCATTTCTGGCACACCGAGTACAGTCTCTCGGTGACCTCCGCCGACCAGTACTGAGTTTTGCGCACCTCAGGCACCCCGTCAGCAGCGAAGGTTCCTAGAACATAGGGCTTAATCTCTTGAATAAACTCTTGGATACGATTACCCTGTTCTTCATCTTGTCGGGAGTCTTCGAAGATCGCGTACAGGGCGAGGTATTGATCTGCCTGGAGGCTAAAGGCCATGTCTGGTAACTTTCTCCGACTTGTTGGATATAGAGGCTCCCAGTAGACCATTGATCGATCGCGAGGAAATTCACGGAACATTCGTCGGGTGACAGCGACAAAGTCAATCCCATCTTTGAACCACACACTGTCACAGATGTAGCGAGAATCCCGAGGCATGGTGCACTCCTGGGACGCATATTCCTGTTGAATGCTGGTGGGTTCGCTCTTGAACTCCATGAGGGTCCCATCTGGCATGGCCGTCAGAGAGGGCTCCAGCTTTTCTGCGCCGGTTTCATTGGTGCCCAAAAAGACCAGAAACTGCACCAGAATGGCAGCGACGTTGGGTCCAGGGACGATGGTACTGACCACGAGTGGTTCAATGTCGGCGTGAAGTTTGGGTAGGATCTACGTGCGCGAATCCAGCCTCAATATGGCTGAGTGTTGACTTAGAGAGGGGGGTCCATACGTTTAAAATCCACGACACCACCGTGTCCGAACAGGCTGCGGGCCAGATGAAGGTGCTCTTCTCATGTTCTGCAGCTGCTGGTCGCGTCTGAATAAAAAACCGGGTCACAATTGCGGGGAATTCTATCGAGGTAGTTCGTTAGAGGCATGGAGGGAAGGTATAAGATGGTAGAGGTACCTGGACCAGCGCCGCGAGCTGCCCAGAATAGGTCCACATTTTCATTTTCGCTAGAATGCTTGTATTCGCCGTCGGCTGTGATCAAATCAATGCCGACCAGGTACTCGCATGCCCATCCATAGCTCTAATCGTTTTGTTAATGTGGATGCAATGGATCCTGAGGTTTGCAAATCCCCAACGTACCCGACAATTAAATCCCATCCCCCCTTGGAGAAAGAACCCACCCAGTCCAACATCTCCACAGTGGCCGACGGGCGTAAAGCGCCCATGAGCGACCAGCAGGTCGTTCAGCTGGGCGCTCGTGGTACTGGGAGAGGCACTGGCAATGGCGGTCGTGGCATCGTACTCCAGATGCCTGAAGTCGACCAAATCGATGAGAATACAATCCGCGCACAACGTCCAGCCCGCTAGGCTATGGCCTCCAGATCGAATGCGGATTTGCTTGCCAAGGTCAATGGCGAGCTGCACCGCATGCTGGATTTGCTCCACATTCTTTGGCCTCACAATCGCATGAGGCAATTTCGGCGGGACTCGCTGATTGAAAGCTCTGCTGCGTGCCGATTCATATCCTGGACTATCCCGCCATAGAATGGCAAGATCGACTGGGAGATCATGCTTCATTTTTATTGTCGAGGTAGGCTGCTATGCAAAATGCAAAGGGATTCAAATCTTTGCACTACTGAGAAGGATGGCTGCCCTTCTCGTTAAAAACACCAGAATTTTGCGTAACAAATACGTTCAAAAATACGGATTATCCCGTTGACCCCCACATGGACACGACGTTCTAATGGTGATAGGTATCACCGCCAATATGCAAGGGTTGCGCATTATGAGCCCCAGGTTGCCACTCAGAGGCCGCATGCAGTGTGATACTGATCGCACTTGCTCCCAACTCCATGTGGGAAAGCAATTGTCGGTCGAAGATGAACTGCTGCATATTGAGACAACTTGATCAACGCATATGTACGGTGTTATGCATCCGTTTCGCACACCGACATTCAATTCATGTTTAGAAAGCTAAAAAGTATATGTAGGCTATGAAACAGCAGTACTATGAGGGAACGCCAGGAAATAATTTGCTAAAGGATTTACAACGCTGTCATTTCCCATATTGCCATTCTCCTTCCCACTAGCCTGTCAAATCCAGTTTCATTTTGGAGACGACCCGATCCCCAGAAGCAGAATATGTCTTCAACTCTGCTCCAGTCTGCACCCATTACCATGATGCACGATTCTCTAGGGCCATTCAGAACCTTCACTCTCCTGACTGTCGGGCTTTTCCTGAGTCTCTGCGTGATCCAGACAGTGAAGCATCGACGGCGGTATCATGGATTAGTAGGCACTCTCATTCTCCATTGGACAACCCCAATGTAATATGTGAGGTTAATCGATTCCTATCCTCGCTATAGCCAACGCCTCCGCATAATATGTTGCTGGGGAATCTAGGGGTCGTGCTAGCCGAGATTCTGGCATCGCCCGAGGGGTTTTTCCATTTATTTTGTGTTGAGAACATCCGAAGGAAGTACAACATGCCCTCGGTCTTCTATCTTGACCTCTGGCCGATCCTACCCTCGATCATGGTCGTCGCCGAACCGGCCGTCGCCAAGCACATGACGCAAGTCCAGCCCCAGCAACGCGAGCGATTTTCGCCAAATCTGTTCAGTCCCCTATTGAGTGCCGAATTTATCCTGGCCGTGGAGCAGAAGAATTGGAAGAAGGAGAACCCGGCCCTGAATGCGGCCCTCACATCGACACGCGTGAACGAAGCCACGCCCTTGCTGTTCCCAAGCCTGCATTCGTTACGCTTCCGCCTACTTTCAATATCCGAAAGCGGGCAGCAGTATCCCATTAAAGATCTGTTGACTTCGTATATCATTGAGATCGGATGCGTCATCCAGCTAGGCAGGTCCTTCGATCTCCTGACCGAAACAAGCGCCTTGGATCCCATTATTAAGCGGTCATTGGATACGATGGGATGGAATCCCGTCAAGCGATATATCTGCTCGAAAGAAGTAAAACAGCGTACAGACTGTCTCAACGGGGTTCTTGTTGCAACTGTCCAAAACACAGTGCAAACAGGGGAATCTGGCATGATCTGCCAATCACCGATCTATTCGGCCCATGTGGAACAATTGGCAAGCGGCCGAATGGATCATGCAGAGTCGATCGCCTATCTGGTTAATACGTATGCAGCTGTCTTCCTAAGAAAATCGCGCTAACTGAGTCCACGTAGACTGAAGGTGATCATTCTGGCTTCGGTTGTCTCAGCAGGGGCGGCCTCAGTATGTATTTTGGATGCTATACTACATTCTACCGCAGTTACAGCTAATCTAGGTCAATCTAGTACTGTTACTTCTTCCTGCATAAGTATCCCGACTGCTTGCGGGAGATGCGGGAAGAACATGATCGTGTCTTTTCCCCCGACAGAACCCAGACATGGGAGCTGTTGCAGAAGGAGCCACACCGGATCAATTCATTACACTTTACCCTGGCCGTCGTCAAAGAAACCCTGCGCCTGATTGGTGTTGGTGGAGTGTTCAAGAAACTGAAACCTGGGTAGGCTGCCCTGAGATACGAGGAATGAACCAATGTTGAAAGCCTTATAGGGAGTTCATCGAGAGCGAAGGCAAGGAGTATCCGGTGGTGTGTAACGTGGTAGGTGCTTGCAATTCTCTCATTCCATGCGTCGTATAGTCCTTTACTGATGATTTCCAGGCCTTTATCTGTCACTTGGCCATGGGTCGTCGTGCGGACCTGTTCCCTGATCCTGATGCCTTCCGGCCTCATCGCTTCCTTCCTGGTGCCAATCCCCCCATTCCTGCTGACGCATTTCGTCCTTTTGAGAAAGGTCAACTTAGTTGTCCGGGGCAAACTCTGGCTTTAAAATCGCTGGTTTTGCTGCTCTTAACCACTAGCCGCGAGTTTGACTTGGTTCCTGCGTTTCCCAAAGGTGCCCCCCGAGCGGCAGAATACCTGGGTGGTGAAGGGTATCCTGAGTTCCACATTGGGCCTCATGTGAATAAAGGAATGCCCGTGATGGTTCACACCAGGGTCGGCGCATGATATGATCCGCGATTACTTTAGGGTTTACTCTCTAATGCCATAAGCGTAGGTTGTCGCTCAATGGATGATATCTTCTTCACGGCCACCTAGAAAGAGTATCCTCGCTATTTATTCCCTTGCTAAGATTGGGCTAGAGAGTGTAAACAGAATCTATAAATGGACCAATTTGCTTGATGCTGCAGTCGCCGGTCAGAAAATATTGGGTCACTTTTATTGGTGACCTCACGCAGTTAAGAGGAACAAGAAAAGTGTAGTTTGGCAAGAACAGATCACCTGTCGCTGCGTTCGTAGACCGTAGCGGTAGATAGGGCACGTCCGTGCTCTTTTGTAGGGAGGCAATGTATCCACCTTGACTTCAGGTCGACAATTGTGAGGCAACCACAAATAAACTACTCCCTCGATATTTAAAGGCATTTCCTGTAATTTCTTGAATTGTATGTATTGAAATTAAGCTACATAGAATACTTCGGGTTAAATTAACAACTTGTGAAATGTAGTCAATGGTTTAGTATCATACCATGTTGTCTTGAATTTCAATATATCATACTCGTAAGCTCCAACGGACGCATTTGAACGGCTGGTGAATCATTGACAGATGTCATCCCGGCTTTAGAGTGCTAGGCCACAAGCATCAGTTACATCAGCGAGCGCAGCTTCACTTTCACCCCGTCTGCTGGCCGCGGAGTGAACCACCCCACGGGGGAGACATCGGCCGCGGGATTGTCAAGGACCATATCAAACGATCGAATGACCGCAGCGACGACCGTCCGGAGTTCAGCCCGCGCAAAATTTTGTCCAATACAGTTATGGGGTCCGTGGAAAAATGAGAGAAAGGAATAGTTGCTGCTTGCACCACCATGGTTATTAAAACGACCCGTGTCGGGATTGATCCATCGGTCCGCATTGAATCGATCGGCATCGGGACCCCAGAGTTCGAAGGACCGGTTGATGGCTCTTGGCACGATCAAAAAGGGCGTCCCTTTGGGAATCGGATGGTTCATGACGGTGGTATCCCGAATGGCGATGCGGTTGCCAATCGGTAATGGGGGGAACAGCCGAATAGCCTCACTCACGACGGCATTCAGAAGAGGCAGCTGTTCGAGGATCGCCAGGTCGACCTCGTCTAACTCACGTTCCGGGAGGTTCGCCTGCAACTCGTGACGGAGGCGAGATTGCAACTCAGAATTGGAGGCGAGGGCCAGCATGACCCACATCACCACCGAGGAGGTGTTTTCATGCCTGTGGCACTCAATCAGTATATAATACGGGGAAATAAGTATCGAGCGAAATGCATACCCAGCCGCTAGGAAGGTCCGGACCTGTTCGATTAACTCCTGAAATGTATATTCGCCGGTATGGATCATATTCGCCAGCAGATTGCTTGGTATCCCATCCCCGACACTCGTCGCCTTGGCATCAGTCACCCATTGATGACAAAAGTCTCGGATGCAGTCAATATTCTGGCGGAATCGCCGCCATTGGGGCCATGGTAGCCATTGTAGGATGATCCGTGGAAGCAGGGTGTCAGCGAAGACACACACCAAATGTCCTGCTTCGGTCGCGAAGGCTTTCTCATAGCAGTGGATGATCTCGCTGTCCGCGTCGCGCACACAATGAAAAGACTGGCCAAAGCCGGCTGCTCCGATCATATCCATGCTGACCCGTGGTGCCCAGTAGACCATGTCTGTGGTCCCTGTATAAATCCCGGACCCATCATGGGTCAGGGTTCGCTTAATCTGCTGGGTCAGCGCGGCCGCCTCTTTCCACAAGACCGGATAGATGGCACGGATATGTGGTGGCGTGAAGCCAGCCAGCAGCTTTCGCTTCTGCTGGCGATGCACATCACCTTCGGCCGTAACAAGACCATCACCGACCACAGCTCTGAGGATCTTCCGCTCGCCTGGGAGCTTCTCGAAATCGTCTGCCCGGTGGACAAGAACATCGGCCAGGCTCTTGGGGGACGTCAGGAAGATCTTGGGTTCGCCAAACAGGCCGCGTAGACAGATCATACCGTCGTTGGGTACGTGCAACAAGAGCTCCGCGTGCAATTGGCCAATGGGTTGGAGGAACTCGGAAAAGGCATGATCCCATAACCAGTGGCCGCGCTGCACTCTGTCAGCTACTCACACTGGGAGATCTAGGTGGGAGTGCCTACCTCGGCCTGAGGTAGAGTCCTCAACGGCGATATGCCATAGGGGTACAGGACGACCCTGTAGAAAGTCCATATGGCACTCAGAGTAATTCCTATCCAGAAGAAGGTGACAATGATCATGGTGGAAAGACAGACACTCGATGGGAGGCCAATGGAGGACCTGGCCAGCCCTGAAAAGAAAGAGCTCAGCTATCAGGCACAGCAGGCCATTGACGGTGGATCATATTATCCCCTAATGCGATAATCCCACGCCATGCCTCACCGGTTCTTTCTTCCTCCTTGCTTGTCACTTTCTCACTGTGCATTTCTTTTGCATGAAATGTGAGAGAGCCAACATGCAAATGCAGTCATAATGCAGGCCTGCTGCATGATGTGTTGTCCCCCCAAGGGAATCGAGATAGGTATGGATGAAAATCGTCAATGATAAAGAATGGAAGTCCCCCAACAGCTGTGTAGGTGTAGTCCACTTCTGTTACGATTATACTATATTTGGACCTCCTTGCCAGCATCATGGGCTCTCTTTCGTCTCCAACCGTCCTCACACCTTATCAGGTGCTTTCCAAATATAAGAAATTCCCTGGTCCCGATGAGGAGTTCTGGTGGGATCATGCAGCGTCCACGTTGGCCGATCTTATCAAGTGGACCAAGGCCACCCCTGCCCAACAATATGAGTTCCTGCAGTTCTTCTATGAACATGTCATCCCCAACTTCTCGTGGTATCGACCTTATGATGTGCCCGGTCGGGCATGGAACACGGGTATTACCCCCAGTGGGCTGCCCCTGGAATACAGCGTCAATTGGCGAAACATTGACGCAAATGCAATGGTCCGCGTTGGCGTGGAGCCAATCAGCCACTTCGCGGGCACTGCTCGTGATCCATACAGTCATTACAAGATCTGGGACACGCTGAACCAACTGTCGCAGGTCAAGGCACTGAAGTCCTTCGACCTTGAGCTATGGCGGCACTTCTCCAGCGCTTTGTGCACAAGTCGCGAAGAGGAGGCCTTACTTGACCAGACGCGCACGCTGCCCGAGTCCTTCTCCATTGCGAAGATGCAACACTCGATGGGATTTGACTTTTGTGACGATGAGGTAGTCGTCAAGATCTACTTGATCCCCAATATGAAGGCACGCGCCTCAGGGACCCCCCTGGCAGAGCTGCTGACGGGGTCCATTCACGCCATCTATCGCGACACGATTGATCGCGAGACGCTGGCCACCGTGATCAACTATTTGGATAGCACTAGTAACTTCAACGATGCCACCTGGTTCTCATTCGACTGCATCCCGCGCAGCCAGTCGCGCATCAAGCTCTACGGCTCGGATTTCCACACCACCTGGAGCCGGGCCGAGGACCTGTGGACCGTCGGCGGCCGCTACACGGACGCAGTCACGATGAAGGGTCTTACCTATCTTAAGGAGCTCTGGAATCTGCTGCCCATTCAGAACTTCGAGACGCTGCCTGAGCAGGCTGTGCAAAATCCCCCCATGCTATGGGCTTACGAAATTCGCCCTGGTGACAAGATACCATCGCCCCGGATCTACATCCCTGGTCACTGTCTCAACGATAAGATGGTGGCCGATGGATTGTCGGCTTTCTTTAAGCGGGTAGGATGGTCGGACCTGGGCGATCAGTATACAGATCGCTTGTTCTCAATGTTGTAGGTGCTTCTCTCCCCCGGTGACTAGACGGCTGTGCTAAATGATCCACAGCCCCAAGCAAGACCCCAAGGACTCGACTGCGCTGCATACATGGATTGCCTTTTCTTATACAGAAAAGAGTGGCGTGTATATGAACTGCTACTATCTTGCCAGTGCCTCGTTTCCCTTTAAACTGTAGTTACGGATTTTAGCCTACACGAGATGAATGCGATGATGCCAAAGAAAAAGTCAAGTAGAGTATAAGCTCCCGGCACCAGGCTACATATGAAAGCTTTTTCTCACTTCACTCGCTTGTTCACACGCATAGGTAGTCCTCCAGCTGGCGTCGGTCCGATGCCTGAGCCGGTGGTGTAGGCGTACCCGCCGTAGATATCTGGGCCTTTAGCAGCTTCTAGCGCGTACTTTGGGTGAAAATCAAACTCCGTTAAAGTCAACAGCAACATGACCTTCATTTGGATCATAGCCAGCTCCTGTCCCACGCAGTATCCGTTCCCCTTTTCGAATGGGCGCCAGGCGTCGGCGGGGATTGGAATGACGGCACCGGGCAGAAATCGATATGGATTGAATGTATCGGGGTCGGGAAAGAGGTCGGAGCGGCGATGGAGGCAGTTGTGCGAGATGGCGACCTACTTCAGTCAAGATCAAATACAGAGAGCATGAGAGATCACGAGACTTACGATATGATTCCGAATATCATATGTCCTGCCCTCGTATTCCATCGTCTCGCTAGGAATTCTTATTAGCATTGTATAGCTCAACGGACCTGAAATGAGCTACCTAGGGCATTTCCGCAAAACAGGGCCCATCGGAAAGAGCCTGAGCGTCTCCTTCAGCACTGCGTGGGTCAGCTTTAAATCATTCAACACACGAGGGCGACTCTGTAATGCAAGGAGGATGGACTGTCGGTTGAATCCGCACACCTGCCCGTGCTCTCTACGAAGGTCGTCCAGTATGTCTGGATGCTGGTGGAGGAGCAGAAAGGCATACTACCGTTCCCGAAACGATCAGTATTGTTCCTCAGAGGATCAGAGCCAGGCCATCTTACACTGATCACGGATGCACCACTCGTGGCTCCGATCAAGAAGGCTGCACCACTATGTTCGTTAGCCCCATGTCGTTGATTCAAGGGAGGGGCCTTACGTAGAGGTCAGTTCTTCTAGATATTCCGTCGAAATGACTTCTTTGGAGACCCGAGGAAACCTGGGGAACCCGTTCTTCCGATAGACAGCGAAGGAGGATACTAATAACGAGGGAGCCCTGATTCCATGGTCTTCATCCTTGTCGAACGCATGCTGGACTTTCTCCCGAATCATTGCATGGAAAGTTCGGGCATGTCTCTTCCACGACGGCAACACAAATGGCTTCCGTAAAGGGTTCCTCGCTGCTGATGCCGGTATGGTAGCAGCCCGGAAGGCCGACGTCCACTGGCTTTTCGGGGCGAAACAGTCCAGCTCCATACCAAAATACGCTCGTCCAGTCATGGCGAGGATGGCATCGGTGGCCACGCGCTCCATGCAAAAGATCTGGTCCCGGTCAGACCAGTCGTTCAGTTGATCCAACATAGCTCGCAGATCCTCGGCCATCTGTGGCACCATTTGGACGAAGTACGCAGCCGTAAAGGAGACGCCGACCACAGGATGCCATTTGGTCCATGCCCGATCCGCTACGGTGCGAAACCATCGGGTTGGAATGGCCGGATACAGCGTCTCAAAGATACCCGGATACCGCAGGGACCGATCTTCCTGCGTAACCTTTCGCGCGAGGCCGGGATCGCTGATAAACACGATAGGATTGAAGAGGGGATACAAGTCGAGAAAGAAAACCGCCGGTAGGTCAAATTTGCGGCGAACCAGATCCACCACTAACGGAGGAAAGATATCTCTGGGTAAGGTCAGGAGTTCACGCAAGAGGATGGGAAAGTGGCCCATGAACGGATGGTGGGGTGGTTTAGGCTGTCAACAGCGCATTTGTATCTTGTCAGTCTTGGGACCCGGGGGGGGGGGGGAGAGGGCGCACAAATGGGAGGCCATACCAGGTCGCGAAACTGCCTCCGGATAGAACCGATTCGAATGGAGATATAGACTACTAGAAGAGCCACTGGGATGGCCAGGATCCGGCCTAGAGTCATGACTGTCAGGTTGAGGGAAAGGTGGGTGGATGGGGCTTCCATGGTCTTTGGGCATTTTTCTCTCTCATGGATAACCATCCAGTTAAGTGTCGAATTTTTCACCGCATTGTTCACAGTGCTTGCTTCCAAGTGCTGTAGCCTCCATCCTCTATTAGTCGTCTGTTTCTTGCCGAATAATGCTTGCATTTCCCTTGCTTATTGCAGACCGACACATCGAAGACTTCCGGCCCAGCCCAGCCCAACATGATCCTCGGCGCAAGGGTCTCTGAGACTGAGGTTTACCCATTAGCCACATAGATCATGACCTGCCCCGTTTCTTTCAGTTCCTAGTGGTGGGAGGAGTCCTTGCGGCCGGCCTGTGCTGTTTCTTTCTGCATCAAACACCCAGGTCTTTCTCTTTCTCCAGGCCCGAAGCCATTGCCTTTGATCTGGAATTTTCACCAGCTACCCAAAAAAGACCACTTGCAGCGACATCAAGAATGGCATGAGAAGTTCGGACCGAGTGTTACTGTTCGAATGGGAATGAGCACGATGATTATGATAAGTGACTACGCCATTGCCAACGAGCTACTACAAAGGGCGAGCGGCCATCTACATCTCTCGACGAAGATGCTGTTTTTGAAGAAATATCTCACAAACAGCCTGCAACCGATTATGCAGCCCTTTGGCCCGCGATGGAAGCTTCTCCATCGGCTTCATAGGATGCTCCTGATTCCGACTACTACGCGCGCCTATCACCATCAACAAGACCTGGAGAGTCGCCAACCCGTGAAGGAGTTACTCTCCACCGCATCCGATAGCCACACATTTCGATTTGCGAGATATACGCTGAGCTTCGTGATGGGACTGGTGTTTGGGGAGCGGGCCCCTAGGGGAGATGAGACGGAGCCCAATTTGATGCGTGATTGTATGATGAGACGATTGACGGGCTTCCACTGGACATAATTTCTCGCAGATCTGCTTCCCCCAGTGGACTAGCTGCCCCATTAGATAGTCCGTCCATCCAGGCGCCACCAGCTTTCGCCCTGAACGCTGGCTGGAGAACCTGGATTACCTATGAGCGCGGTCGGATCTGGGCGACGCAAGTGCCCTGGCCGGGATGTCGCGCGGAGCTCTCTGCTCCTGGCCCTTGGCCAGTGCCACTGGTGCTTTCTCATTAAGTTTGACCACGAGTCTGAAAGCTGTCTTAGAGGCTTACGGCAGGAATATAGTTCTAATTTATAATTCAGTACTTGGAAATAACCGGAGACTTTTCCTACGCGGCCCGTTATAGATGGATGCCATTTCTTCTATTTTGCGTCATCGTACCCTAGTGCGTTATGATTACAGGATGGAATAAGACCGGAAGATCCAGCACCTCGAAAGGTATGTGTGCGGTGAGAAATGATGACCATCAAAAGGTAGTTCATAAGATGCACAGTAATGTGGAGTAGAGGGCTACTTTGGGTGTAGACTGAGTATGGACTGAGTGCTCCATAGATGCCGCGGATCAGTTTCCAAGTAAGCAGGGCACAATGTAGAGTCACATATATATTTGGCAGAGCGATCGGGCAATTGGGACCCGGTTAGCGTCTGGAAAGACCACATATGCGATCTACGCACCTGCGATGCGATTGGAGAAGAACCATTCCCCATTTCAGTCACGGCGTTCCATGACTAGGGCTTGCGATAGTTGCCGGGATTTTTCATCTTACCATTTCAACTCTTCTCGCAAAATTTACATGCAGTCTGTTGTGACAATGGTGGCGGTCCATCTGGGGATCTAGAAAATGAACCGTGTGTAATCCCCACTATTCAGCTTCCAGTCAGAAGATACGTGGATTTGAATAATGACCAGACTACTGGAGGCCTTTGGGACTTGTGTTTGCTGTGGCGTTAAATCATCGGGCCTCATGGGCGGCTTTCGAGTGTGCTTATGATATAATGCGCTTTCGGGACAAATCATACCCATGGACTACGGGATGTGATGATATCCTTGGCCAACCGTGGATCCACGGCTATATGAATTGCTGAAGTTTTATCCTACCCATAGATTATATTTTGGAAAGGATGCCGCCTATTGACCAATGCAACAATTCTGGTAACAATTCTGGAATCTAGATCTGTCGATTCTTGCATTCATCAATGAAATCAAGACTTCTTCTCACTTTGGCCGGACTAAAGTGATATTAAGATGTAATTAGGATTACCCTGATACACTGGATCAACGAGGCTGATCTTTCATTCCTATTGATCGCAAATGGCTATCCACACGTCTCGCACTATGACTGAAAAGAAAAAAAACGCACTGAGATATAGCTTGTATGTTCACCGAACTATCAATGGAAATAACCCCTCCCGAAACGGTACTGCTAGCTAGTATGACAGCGAATTGCTATATCGACCAGAGAATTATGTGCAAAAGCAGCGTGGAAAGATGGCGATAAAGCTGAGGCTCAAGGCCAATGGGAGAAGTAGGACTACTATGTCGACCTTGCTGAGTTGTGCGAAGAAATGGTCTGGAACGCTCCAACAGAAACCACACCACATAGCGTTATAAGTGAGTGATAAATGTGTTTTTTAGTCCAAACTACCAAAGCAATTATTTTCATTGACTATTCTGGGCGAAATAAAGCCCATGGGCCTTAACTATGGCGGTGAACTTGATTCTTGGTGACTGATACGAAATGAAATCAGATATGATTGCTTATCTTTCAAATTATCGAGCAAGCTTGCATGCAGTTCACGAAATTAAGATGATTTATTGATCTGAGGATGAAGTGGAAATATATCTGCCGCTCTGGATCCCCAGTTGCAAGTCTGATCGCAAGTCCAATTATAAAATGACACGATAATATAAAAAAAAAAAAAAAAAAAAAAAACAAAATCTGAAAACACTCGCCCAGTTCATTCAAGGCCTCTTAATGCAGAGAGAATAGTAAGTCCGCACCGACTAACTTACCAACAAAGCGGTACATGTAAAAAATCCTTTGTAAATGGCGCAAACAACTGGCAACTTGGGTCGATGACTAGCAGCAACAGTACCTGTAGTAGTAATATTCATAGTAATAGTAGTAGTAGTAGTAGTAGTAGTAGTAGTAGTAGCATCATTCTTATTCATTTACACCGACCTCTCGCAAAGTTGGAATCTGGATTAAGCTACAAGCCTGATAATACTTTTGACTTGTGAGAGAAGATCTAGATACTTATATATGCAGTGACTCAACTCCCTTCTGCCTAGTGGGGTAACAGCCTAACAGACAGCAACTCCTATATATTGTAGTGGTGAATCCCGTGACAGTAGCGTGTTGTCAACAATACCCTACGAATACTGCATGAAACCGGAGATACTATAGATCCGATGCCAAGGAATTAGTCATTATACTAGGCATAAATAGCTTCGTAATAGGGGTAATACAACTCAGAGTCATTGATATCTCCAATTGGTCGGATACAGTACAGGGATTCCGAAGATTCGACACGTGTTAGCGTCCTGAGGTATCATAAATGCCTTAGCAGATATGCAGTCTTTTCTTGCAGGGAGATCTCAGCATGATCCAAAACCCCAATATGACTACAGTTATTCACCAGACTTCTTGATTCATGATATAGCATCAGGTTCAGGACAATCTACATCTTCGGAGACTGCTCTCTACGTGTACCTCAGGCCATGGGAGTGGTTGTGTGATTCCTTCGTTAGTATCGACACGTCTGCTATGCCAGACTGCCATCGTGCTATCCCCGTTTCAATATATACATACATAACGTGATCTTGGGGTCCATCGGCGAGAGTTCGGGGTGAATGAAATCATACATGCATCCAACCCTGTACATGCAATATGAAAAGTCGCTCTTTTGCGTTGGGGATACGACTCAAGGGGGAAAAGGAGAAAGCGGATGGGGAAAGGAGGGGCAGATCGGTTCAGTCGGCTGTTATGGTGGAGAGGGATTTTTGCATAGAAAATTCACTTTGACCTACTAACCAAAGCCATGTCTCTTTAATCGGCTGACTAGCTGGCATAGTGGATTTGTTGAGAATCACATATCTCACAGGCTCTGTCTGACTTGCTGGTCAACGATGTATTGGCAAATGTTAGTACAGAGAAAACTTCATCCATGCGTCGAAGAGGAAGAAGGACGAACTTACTATGTACATTAGACACAAGGCTTTTTAGACTTTGCGTAGTCAAGTGAATGAACTACAGAGCAAATTACCGGATTTAGAGGAAGTATTTATATAGTGCTCGGCTTCTGTCACTTGCAAATTCGGTAGACAGCGTGAAGAACACCGATCCTCATTGAAGACTGTTAAATCCATGTCTTTCTTTTACCGCAACTATTTGCAGCGATGTTTTTGAAGCCTTCAGATGCTCAGTGAGAGAGCCGCACAAAATTCATGTTGTGACAAAGGAACACTGAGTCGGAGAAAAACGTCGGCTGACTATTAAGTCCTCTACGGCTTTCTTAAATTGAGGCTTCGTGATGCATTGGAGATATTCAATCAGCGACAGCTCATGTTCCTTGTATGCTTAGCTAGCCCAAGTAACAAGAATACTCGCACATTGGCACCCTGCAATCTCACGGGTAGTCATTGCCATCTCCCTTATTGTTCCCAGGTACGATATACCTCATGCTTGGTGACCTTCAAGACCAGCAGTCTTCGGCATGCAAAGAAACACCGCAAGCTCTACTTAAGAAGACAGAGCGATGAAAGGGTGCTTATCTTGAACCTTGTTCCGGGGAGTATCAACCAACCCCGACTAAGAATGGCATGAGAGCCTCTGCAATGATGAAGTTATTTGGGTCAGTCATGTGACCCATTTCTTGTTCTCCATGCGATAATGTCGCCAATAGCATAAGGATTCCTTAATTATCATATGTTTTATACGTGTAAACCCCTCCTACATTACTGCCCCGCGGTATGCCAAAAGTTTTAAGCTACCTTCTGACCTCAGAACCGGCATTGCAAGCGCTATTCATTCCTATTTTAGGGACGATAAGCCCGCAGGATTCACGTTCCCGTCTCTGCCAACTTGGCTATCCAAAACAACAAGGCTTGATAATCTAGTTGGAAAACGCGTTGACTCGGTGGAGCACCTTTCTATAGGTAGCCTACTCAAACAACAGCAAATCTCAAATTTTATGGGCAGGGTGGCTCTGTGCGTACTACGATTTTTTAAAAAAGTTGTATATACGAGCCGAAATTCATCAATCAAATTTCAAAAAAGCGAAGGAAACTCGAAGCACTCCTCCGCCATCAGGCCCAAGAGGTAGATATTTCCATGTAGTTATCTGTAGATAGAAATTCGAAAAGTATATGTTAATGCAACGCACCCTGTAAGACTCATGGTTTATTTAAAATTTTACACCACAGAAGGCATGACAACAACCAAGAATTTGTTTATATTTCAGTCTCCTTTGCTTTGTCTTGTTGAGCCAAGTGATAAATATATTCACCACTCGGCTTAATCGTCTCACCCTTTGATAGTTTTGAGGCAAGAAAGAGCCAGTTAACGGCGTTTCCAACAGTGGTAATTTCATCCCACGTCTTGTTTGGTGCGGCAGACTTTCCCTGTTGTTGTAGTTGACCATCCACCCAAATTTTGAAGAGATGCCTAGCCATAGAATTTGCGTCTGCAATTGAGACCGTAAAGACATTTTTGTCGTTTTCAACAAGGGAACGATAGGGTCCAAGTGACTCAGTTCTTATGACTGGTTTTCCTTTTTGGACAGCCTCTAAAAATCTCTCCTCGAAGCCCTCCGTATCGGAGAGGAGAATGACAGCTGCTGCTTTGGAAAGAAGAGTGTTCCAAAGTTGATCTGGGGGCTTGACCTGCTTCACAGAGATGAAAGACCCAAGATCGTTCATTTTAAGCGCTATTTGCGATGCGACAAAATCGGAGAATTCTTCGACGGCATAGCCATGTGTTTGGCGGTCACAAAAGAGCAGTTTGGGGAGACTGGTTTGCAAAGACGAGGTCCTGATGAGAATGCAAAGCTCCTTGTAAGCGTCTAATACAGTTGCAGCCTGCTGAAATGATGGTGAGCGCGCGAGTTCCACAAGAATATATTCGTCTATAAGCAAGGATTAGTTGAGTAGCAAGACCAGGGCTTATCGAGCTGAATGGCTGACCCTCTGGGTAATTGATGGCACTTGTTCCAGCATTAAGATAAGACGCGTTGAACTGGCGACCATAAAACGCAAGATCCAAATTTTTCATATCTTTGTTACGTCCATCAAACCTGACAGATTGTGTAAGCGCAACATTCACCGGGACACAGGACATATCTTACTTGTCAACGGTGGCCAGCGTGTAAAAAACTTTGTCTTCAGGTATCAATCGCGATTTCAGTTTACTTGGAGCCTGGCATGCCAAGATATCGACGTGCCGTAATGTTCGCCAAATGAAGTCGAAAACTTCGGTCCTTGCGTCGCCAGCAGATGCAGCAGGGTCAATATGTATATTCATTCGACTGTGAAATACGACCGGTCTTTTGGGGCTATGTTGCTTTGATATAAGTGCCAACGCGGATAGGAATGGGTCATCAATAATAACAATATCCACACCCCCTTCCTGCGCCCGACGAAGAGGGCCATTGTGGCACAGCCAGTGATGTTTGGCATTTTTATACACCCAGTTGAGTAGCTGTAGCTCCTCGTCTGTCGTGATATGTTCTTCGGGTGATGAGATCCCTTGCAGTATCCTTTGCATTTTTTCAATACTATGGCAAACCCTAGGAGCTGGGTCTGGGACATACCTAAGGAATGTAAAATTCAGGTTCAGCCTCCATCGGCAGAAAAAAAGTACATTGAGCCACTCACCACCTTATATCGGTCCCTAGGCAGTGTGAGAATCGGAGAAGAGCATGCCTCGTGTTTGCGATGGCCTCGCCCTGGGGAGTAGCACTGAATATTGCAATTTTAACACCGCGTTCCTTGAGATCTGCGGCGTAATCATGTGCCAGCGACCAGGTCTGTGGAGTCACACTATTTTGGAAATCTCTGGCGCTGACAAGATGTATGTGGAAAGCGCTATCGACTTCCACTAAGCCACCAACGCCAATATCCAAATGTGGTATATTCCCTGCGCCAAAGAAGCTGGGCTGCATTAGCCTCCAGGATAAATACTCATGAGGGCAGTTGAGTTTACCTGATACATTTCCGGACCATTGAATCAGCTTGTTCGTCAGGAGACTTCTCGTTCCATCCCCGGAAAGTAGCAATATTACCCTGATCTGTCCGCTGACGTGATTCTCGGTGCTGGTCCATTACGAAAGGGATGCAATCAAGCTCCATCCAAAGCCGAGAACAAAGATCGGGAACTCTCTCATTAATTTCCTTTGGCAATGCTACGCCCATGATCTTTTCAAAATAGGTCCTGGTGTACCTTTCCAACTCAGTGATGATTGAATCGCAGATCACAGAGCACGACAATGGATCTTCATGATAGTTGAGTTCATACTCGAGGTAGTCAACTAGGTAAGTTGCATTGCTGATGGCAATCGCTACCCTAGGCCCACAGTGCTTTGACAGCCCTGATATTCCCACGTAGATGCTCTGGATTTAACTGGTGTTAGAAATTTCTGCCCGATTAGAGTGGTATATATCCAGACGAAGGTGTAAGCATTGAGGCAGTCATACATCGAACTGTTGACCCGACCAGGAATCTGCTCTCATATGAGGCCCATGAGTCCCAGAGTCTCTGTGCTTAGGGATAGGGCGTTTATATGTTGGTGACTGATACATGTCGAAAGCTTTCAGTTCTGCAGTATCCTGATATTAAATATCAATTGACGGCGGGTAAGAGGTGGATGGCATATATGAGATAATAATTCAGTGGCGGTGGCCAATATCATCCCATTCTACGAGTGGGGTGGCGTGCTACATGGGTAAATAAAAGCGCTCCATACCAAGTGTTTTGGTACTAAGATTTGCGTACAGTATTTTGCATGTCTTTTGTGACATGGTGATATAGGACGGATAAATATCGTCCGGTGCCGAAAGGTCCAGGCCTAGCCCCACAAACGGGTGAGGCGGCTGGGTGGCGAATAATCGAAAGTCATACGATCAGTCCCCACGATTCGAGTGGGCTTAGACCAACCACATTTGATTCTGCCTATTCTGCCTGCATGTACATACTATGGGCCTGAAGTCTAGTATTGGAATAACTAAGGTAGAACACTAGATTACATTTTAAGTTTGTATGTAATGAGGTGTACTTATACTCTCCGGTAACAGGCAATGCTAGTCAGTATACTTCAGACTTGCAGAGCCTTTTCGTAGCAGTATGGCGCATATATTTTCTTGAGCTCTTTCTTTAAAAGTTTCAGAGGCCTGAATAATGAAATGCATTTAATGGGATGATCAGGCTTGGCGGGATTTATAACTACCTTTCGACTCGAAGCCTCATTATAACAGACAGTAGTATCGTGGCTCCTGTATCAACACATTGGAAATTTGATTACAGCAGCTATATACTCTTGCATCTTGGCGCTCTGGGTGAGTCAGTCTTTGTTGCGTACAACGAGCTGAATACGTTACCAGTATTTTTTTCTTTCCTTAAAAAATAAAACATAAGTGTTCATTACGCCGAATCCGGAAAACGTGCCCACGTTTCTTGAAGCAATGAAAGAGTAATGGACTCTTTATCCAGCAAATTGAATCAAGACACTGATAATGATTGACTGATATTTTATCAGCCGAAACAATGACTGGAAGTTAGGACTACGAAGTCTTGTACGAAGTCTTGGTGCTCACAGAAGCAGTCATGATTTCATAGGCCGCGGCCTTTGAATCTATCCTGCCTAAGGCTATGTAAATCCGTATTATACATATAGACAGTCCAAATATTCACTACGTTCAATTCAATCTTCATATCTTCCGATAGCTGATTATAGTCCAAAGTGAGCCGACGATCGGACCATGTCCATTCACCAAAAATTCATATCAATCAATATTATACCTTGACGTGAATAGCCTTACCCCAGTTTTCGTCAAGATGGCCAGCATTGCTAAGGATGATGACCTCATCCGTAGCTTTGAGCAAATTGTCCGAAGTGATGGTGCTATAGTCGGTGGGAAAAATTCGTCCCTTGGAGAGATGATCAGTGTTCTTGGGAAGAAGGGGGTACCTGTACCCCCTGGTTTTGCAACTACTGCCCTTGCATACTGGGATTACGTCGACAGTAACGATATTCGGCGAAAGATAGCCTTTTTTATTGAGGAATGGGCATCTGGAAAGGCCAGTCTTTCCGAGACTGGTCAAGCAATACGTCGTCTGTTCACTCATGGCACATGGCCAGCGAAAACAGCGACTGCTATCAAATTTGCGTATCGCACACTTTCAGCTAAGGCCCAAATCGAGAATATGAGTGTTGCCGTACGCTCCAGCGCGACTGCTGAGGATTTGCCTGATGCAAGTTTCGCTGGACAACTGGACTCCTATCTGAATATATGTGGCGAAGATGCACTTCTGGCTGCTTGTCGGCATTGCTATGCTTCACTTTTCACCGACCGAGCCATCAGCTATCGTCAAACCAAAGGATTTGATCACATGAGCGTCGCACTTTCAATTGGCGTACAGCGAATGGTTCGCTCCGATATCAGCGGATCCGGTGTTATGTTTTCAATCGACACCGAAACTGGCTTCGACAAGGTTGTGCTCATCAACGCTGCATGGGGGCTTGGCGAGAACATTGTGCAAGGAACCGTCAATCCAGATGAGTATCAAATCTATAAGCCTCTTTTAAATGATCAGAATTTAGTTCCAATTATAGACAAAAAATGTGGGGAGAAGGCGTTGAAGATGGTCTATGGTGATAAGTACATGCCAACCCGCAACGTTCCGACCTCTAAAGCGGAGCAAGTAACGTTTGTGCTCGAAGATGAAGAAATACTTCAACTTGGACGCTGGGCATGCACGATTGAAGATCATTACAAGTGTCCAATGGATATGGAGTGGGCCAAGGATGGTATCTCAGGGGAGCTGTTCATTGTCCAGGCTCGGCCAGAAACCGTGCAGTCCCACCGTGATGATGCCGCCTTCAAAACCTACAAGGTCGGCAAAAAAGGCCGTACCTTAGTCACTGGTCTTTCTGTTGGCGATTCCGCGATTTCAGGACGCATCTGCCTTATTCACTCTGCCCAAGATATCGACAGATTTGTCGATGGGTCCATTCTAGTCACACAGGCTACCGACCCAGATTGGGTGCCAATCATGAAGCGAGCAGCAGCCATGATTACCGATCATGGTGGGCGAACTTCCCATGCGGCTATCGTTAGCCGTGAGCTAGGCTTGCCAGCAATTGTTGGAACGGGTGACGCCACCTACGTGCTGCACACTGGACAAGATGTCACCGCCTCCTGTGCAGAGGGAAACACCGGTTTTGTTTATGAAGGTATATGCGATATCACCACGCAGACGGTGGATCTGACCGAACTCCCGGTCCTGCGAACAAAGATCATGCTCAATTTGGCCAACCCAGCGGCAGCATACCGCTGGTGGCGACTTCCTGCCGATGGAATCGGCCTTGCACGTATGGAGTTTGTCGTCGCAAATGCGATCCAGATCCATCCGATGGCCCTCATCCACATAGATAGTGTGCAGGATCTGATAGCGAAGGAAAAGATTTGTCGACTAACAGCGGCCTACAAAAACAAACCAGATTATTTCGTTGACAAACTCTCACACGGCTTGGCAGCTCTATGTGCTGCCGTCTATCCTAAGCCTGCTATCGTCCGTATGAGTGACTTCAAAACAAACGAATACGCTAGCCTTATCGGTGGTGCGCAATTTGAACCCCGTGAAGAAAACCCAATGATCGGTTTCCGTGGTGCCTCACGCTACTACTCGCCGCGCTACAAGGAAGGCTTTGCGCTTGAGTGCCGTGGGATAAAACGACTCCGTGATGATATGGGTTTCACTAACGCCATAGTGATGATTCCATTTTGCAGAACGGTGGGGGAAGCAAAGTGTGTACTTGAATGCATGGCTCTGAATGGGCTCAGACGCGGACAGAACGGGCTTCAGGTTTATATGATGTGCGAGATACCATCCAATGTTATTTTGGCCGCTGAATTTATGGAGCATTTTGATGGCTTCTCCATCGGCTCAAATGATCTGACCCAGTTGACTCTCGGCATCGATCGCGACTCCGGTGAATTGGCCGACTTATTTGACGAGCAGGACAAAGCGGTTAAATGGATGATTTCTCAGGTCATCTCAGTTGCCCGCAAGAGGGGCTGCAAAATTGGCATTTGTGGCCAAGCGCCGAGTGATCATCCAGAGTTTGCAGAATTTTTGATTGAGTCTGGGATCGACTCAATCTCGGTTAGCCCTGACAGTTTTGTGGCGGTGAAGCAGCACGCTGTTTCCAGCGAACGGGCACTGTTCTATCCTTAACGTGATGATCAACACGTGTATTCTATTTGTGACTTTAACGTAAAGGTCTCATGCTTTGTCGGGAGATATGTATCAATTTGAAGTGACATTAACCAATATACGATAAGCGGAGTATATACGATTCATTTCTCCACAAACCGGCATACTGATATTGACTTTCGAAGTGCTCGATGGGGCTGGTACATCGGTGCTTTTAGATTCACTAGCCATGGCAAACTAGTTTGATCGTCAAAGAATTATGGAGTAGGTAATTTAGCGATTTCCACCTCTAACCATTTCTCAGCCTCGTCCACCTGATGCAATCCATCCGCTTGCCTCCTTTTTCTGCTGGCTTGCGGCGCCAAAGGAGCGCTAGATGTCACATAAAAATATACGTTGGTGAGAGAAACGTAAAGCCTCGAGGAATGGCTTAGCTCACTCTCAAATATTTCCACCCTAAACCAGGTGTATAGACTTTTAGAGTTTTATGTAAAATTGGGCTATTGCGGTTCCCCAATGTTTGTGGGTTGGGTGCGGTTTGGGTTTGCGGGGCAACGTTTGGCCCCAATTGCGGTTTTTGGCGCACTCTACAACTAGCTATCCACTTATCGCAATGTCAGGAACACTGCCTAGAATACTTGGCCTGAGGCATGAGCATGCCTCAGGAACAGTGGCAGTATAGTACTACACCTTCACCGTCCTGAACAGGGCCAGTCTGTATTTATTGCATCCCCGCTAACCCCGGGAAGGGTCACTTTCTTCTATAATAGAGCCATGTTGTACTATACATCAGCTGAGGCTTCGACTTCGTTTACCTAACTAACCCCAGAAACTATGTGTTTTCTTACACTTACTCTCCGGGTAATACATATATTGAAATGTGCCAAACTTCGCCGAGGCGTCACAGTGGTTTCGTAGTCGCGCGTCACGAGGGCAGCCCAACAATAGGAGAGGAAATCAGACATCGGCAGGCCTTGACGAGGATGTAATTTCTTGTTCAGCAAGTGCAACACTCTACATGTTCATATAGGAATATATATCGTTGTCGTGGCCTGCATATCGCTTTTCATTGGGAGGGGTCAGAAATGAAACACACGCACCTTGTAAGATAAACGCTGATGCAGATGATGGACAAAAAAAAGCTATTGCACCAGAAATTATTCCTTCATATACGAAGAGCGCAGTTTATTCGAAATTAATTTGTGATTCACATTCTAATCCTTCAGGCAAATCGGACACAATATATTCGGAACCCCAAACTGGATTAGCGTGTTTCGAAATAAGGAACAAGAAACATTCTGTGAAAATAAGATGGTGAACCAATTATGAATCGTCCTGTAACAATTCCATACGATTGATGTACTTTGCCAGAAATGTGAAGTTGCACTGCGTAGGTCTTGAAATGTCAATTCCTACTTCCCTTGAACTTCTGGAGGTCTGCTGAACAGTGCACTGTTGCTCTCCTCTTTCCTCTGACCCTAATACCCCTGGTCACAGTTTTATCAACGACTATCATTGAGAAGAGTTCGTGAACGCAATATGATATTATTTGAAATGGACATATTCACAGAAACAATGTAATAGTTCAGAGAAAAAAACGGCAAAAGATAATAATCCATGGGAAAGCCACGAGCCCTATTATATCCAAATAAGATCCTTCGCATTTTCATTCCTAGGGGCAAGTTATTCTGGTAATTAAGACGGAATGAAGTCATAACAATCAAGAAGCCATGAGCATTCGGAAAAGCAAGAGATGACTGCCTTCCATTTTTGATCACTCACCACTCACCACTCTATACCAACAACTCGAATACCTCCAAGAGCCTGTTCTTCTGAATTTTCGAAGGCGCGTTGGGTAGCCCCATCAGATTGCAGACTGCCATCTGCGCTCCTCGGACGCTGTACTCCAAGCTGAAGGTTGTATCATCAGGAATTTCAACAAATTGGCCAATGAACGCCATATTTGTGGTGTTATGTGGGATCACCCTCGGACGGTCATTGTGCGCACGAGACAACAACATAGATGCCCCTAGCGGCAGGAGGCAAGGGATTGTTATTGCCGACGAAAGAAGTGTATCGGCAGGAAACCCTAGGTGAGAAACAAGCTCGAGAAAAATCTCTTCCCCAGAACATAGTTCCATCGGCTTTTTGACGAAGGTACCTCTTCTTCCCGGGTGTAGGGCGTAGCCCCAGATAACATCGAGGGTCTTTGGCTGTGTTGCGAAAACAGGCTGGTGAGGGACACTAATATTTAACTCCCAAGGACTCTCTAGCACGGTAATTATAGCGCCTGTCCCTGGCTTATCTCGGGTAAGACGGGCGTAACATTCCATGAACTCCGAATCACGCAGAGTGACTGTAAAGGTCTCAATCTTCGACTCGTCTGACCGCGTCAAGAAATTTGACGGATTGCCAAACTTGGGGGACTGTTGCTCAAGCTTCTGCCAGAGAGACCATTCCCCGGATTCCAAGCTTTCCCCCGGGGAAGATGGCGGTTCCTTGTTAGACCCTGTCTGCATACCAGTAGACATCGCGCCCAGTGTCACGATTACAATGTCAACTGGGTCCACTGTGATCAAACTTTCCTTCTCGTTTTCTAAAGCCACAATCTCCGAAATAGTAGTTGGATCACTGGATGGATATGATTTGAAATCAGTGACCATCGCATGGAACCGAAAGTCAACACCTTGTTCCTTCAAATATGTGGTCATGGGAATGATCAAAGACTCAAAAAGATTGAATGGAGTTCGTTCCAACTCCCGCACATCATTGATGGTGTGGATTTCTGGGAGGTATTTGGCGAGCAGCCTATGAAATTCACATGCGCTATGCCACCGTTGGAGCATAAACCTGGAAGCGGGTTAGTTCTGGGGAGAAAAAAAAGGAGAAAACAGGCGAGTGCTAACGTGGTGGACCACAGAGTCCAGAGTTCTGAATCGAAGAACGCCTCATCGAATATCTCGCTGATTTTCTTTGATTCGAATGAACTTTCGCCACTCAAGAGGAACTTGATGAGATCCATCCGAAGCTTTGCACCGATTCGCAGCTGATGCATGTCGATTTTGTGTGGTCCCTCTCCAGACTTTCTTATTACACGCGTCCGAGCTTTGTTCATAGGCCTTGTGTGCCATTCGTGCTCTTTGATAGCCTCCCAAGAAGACTTGGCCGGATTTTCCGGGCTGGGAATCATCGTGAGAAGGTCTTTCACACACTCCCCGTGGAAGTACGGCTGTGTGCCCGTGTGGAGCACGTATCCATCGCTCGAGTTTCCAGATGTCTTCATGGCTCCGCCGGAACCATGATGGATATCGAAGATGTGAATTTGATGCGGCGGAACCTTGGCCTGCTTAACCAAATGTACCGCAGCTGCAAGTGATGCGACACCACCTCCAATTAGCCACGCCTGTACATCTTGGGGGTTGCGATTAAGGGCCATTGTCTGTTCTGCTTTTGATTTGTATCTTAAATTTTTCAGTGCTTTCGTGTTTATTGTATTTATGCTTAGGTCGAATGTCCTCATTAGTCATGTTTGGTGCACAACGAATGGTCAGTCTTCCATTTGCCACCTGGCTCATCACGTCAAGTTGAAGTCAATATTAATCACTAGGGGTCAGGTGCAGGAAATCGTATGATTAAATCGATATTTTAGGGTAAAACCTACAGAGCCCAGGCCCTAATGTGGGCTGGAGCATACAAGTTCTAGTACCCTCACCGACGGCCAGACCCACCATAGGCCCGTTTACACTTTAGAAAACCACACTTTACCTAGAAATCTCCGACTTTATCAGATCATTAAAAAGATCTTTTAAAGGTGTAGCGGTCATCGGATTTAGTCGCTTTTGCCTGCGCCATGGTCGAAGACTCGAAAATCAGCCGCAAGTGATTTGAGTTGTTTCAAGAGGCAAGGTTCGATACGGCATCTTACCGGAAATATCTACAATCTTGACAAGACTGGCTTCGCGGAGCGGACTGCGATCGCAAACAATCGTCACGAAAGCTACATACTACGATCGGCGCTCACTGGGAATAATGAGTTGGTAACAGCGATGGAGTGTATGGGTGCTTCAGGGTAGGGATGCCCTGCAAGTATGTATTACAAAGGCAAGGCTGTATGCCAGCGAACTCATCGTGTCTGTCCACTCAATATTGGCTGTTTTACGATGTTAAAACAGTTATAGGGTCAGTTTGCTGAGACAACAGTGCGTTTCGGGATCAATCATTTTCAACTAGTCGAGTGACCTCGTAGCTTGATATTGGCCTTCGAAACCCAGCCCCCATCTCGAGCCGGTGTAGCGTTTCAAGCCGCAATTTTACACAAAAAACACTCTGAATGCTAAAGGAAACTACGCCGACAACATTCATCGATCGGACAACTACTTAATGATCGCCCACGCAGCCCACGTATCAAGCACTTAATCAGCTTCGAACGGCTCCAGCTCGCTACTCAAAGCACTTCAATTTTGTCGAATGAAGATCCATTTACGCGCAGAAAGCAGGAAGTACAAGCCAGCGGAGAGAAATGATTAACTCGTCAATTGGCGAGCGGTTTTCAAGTCCCACTTAACACGCTCCGTCGCCGTGTAGATGGTGTAGGCGTCGGAACGATCCTGAAACGGGTCTAAGATTCGGACCCTGAACGACCCGCAGCGACCCTCAGTTGTATAATTTTGAAGCACTTTCCTTGAACAGGATGAAAAAAATTGATGATTTATCGTACTAAATTACTATCAATTATATCTGTCCTCGTCAATATATTAACAACTATTGACTCTTAATTAAGTTTTAATGAAATTATATGAAGTTCGCTTGTAATTCAGGTATCAAGTATTAAGAACTATAGTCCCGCTTATTTTAGGTCAATATTATACGGACAACCATTCTTAGCATTTGGACCCAGGTCAGCTCACGCTAGACCTAATCAGGCCTGCCCAGGTAAGTTCATTTCCAATGCATTATTTGGTAAAAATTCATTGCTTCATGGCAATACTAGTGGTCTGAGTATCGGAAGCCATGAACCCTGGGTACTTCCATTTACTATGTCCCTAGTAAAAATTAAGTCCCTAAAGTTCTCCAATTTTGTATGTTTAACCTTGCCGCATAAGTAGCGCGCAGGAGAAAACTATCAATACAGGTGCTCCAACGACAATTTGGTGATCAAATGGTACTTTACCATTAAGGACAGGCTAATTCACTCGCAATATCCCTAATGCTTTTTATATTTAACCGGGACAATTGGGAATACCCGTATCGTAAATTCCAATACTAGTCAGTGCCTGGGGCTATGAGACGCTCTCGCTCTCCACAGTGGTCTCCTGGATAGTTGTTCAATTCAACCTCAATCGGTTCCCTCAATACTAAGGCGACGGATACCCTTTGATCCAATACTGTTTTGATGGTACTATTTTGCCATACTAATACATCCTGACACATCCTCATACACAATATGTCAGTGCTGCATTCATGAATACGGATTGAGAACCGGAATTATAGTAATTCCGAATGAGCGGATTACTAATGGTGAGCATAGCATAAATAGCAAGAAATAGCAAGTAATGAAAGACAGAGATTTGAAAGCCCTTATTGGCTAAGCAAGTTACGGAAGACAGCAAGTTCCAACACAATACTCATGCCTTAGGGTTAACCCTGCGTCTATTTTACTGGGCTATGATCCACCCCTCCCCACTAATACAATCATCCATGGGAGTAACGTCACAACTCGTCAACGATTCCCAGCCCAAGATCATTTACCATGTGCCTCGGAAAGCAAGGCCTGACTTCATAGCAGCTATGTGAAAATTTGAAATTAACCTAGAAAAGGTCTTGTAATTATCCCTCCTAGTCTCTTGAAGCGATGTCCGAACAACTTGCCCACCTGAGCAGGACCAATGATACCTTGCCATGGTAAGGTGTCTAGACCTTGCTGAAACAGTGGTATATCTGGCACTCATTTGTTCATAGGGAAGAGAAATATCGCCCTCAAACCATTAACCAGGTCGTTGGGCAGGAGAATGTGTTGCATGTGATACAAAGAATGATCGCGTCTGAAAATGTAAAGTTCAGCTATTTTCTTAGGTTCGTTGTCAATTGGATATCCGCATAAGAATCTCACGAAAAAGCTGCAGATACCACACATGCTATTCTACGGTCCACCAGGAAGTGGGAAAACTTCAACAATATTTGCGTTGACGCGCAGCCTGTACGGTTCGAACATAACCCAGAAGGTCCTCGAGTTGAACGCCAGCGATAACAGGGGGATGGAGACAGTACAAAGACAAATCAAAACATTTGCCAGTATGCGAAGACTCTACCCCGTCAGTGTGTGCAATGCGTTGAAAAAAATACCAGGCACAGGGCTCATTTTTAATGAAGTCGATTTCCATGGACCCCAAAAAAGCAGCCAAAAATTCAAATTTGTAATTCTCGATGAAGCTGAGTCGATGGAATATACCGCCCAAATGGCGCTTCGCCGGATAATGGACGATTATACAGCCAATGTGAGGTTTTGCATCATAACCAACCAGATTAACAAGTTGTCTCCGGCGTTGGTCTCACGATGTGCTCGATTTCGGTTCAGGCCACTCTCTCCATCGGCGATACGGACTCAGATCATGAAGGTCATCGACAAAGAAAATATACAAATAGAAGAGGAAGCTCTTGAAGGGCTGACACAAGTCAGCAAAGGGGATATGCGACAAGCATTATCAATTCTCCAGGAGTGCTTTTCAAGTGGTACGTATACCTTGGTTCTCAAATGACCTCTACCGTTTTCTACGCTCCTGCTGACATCTATGTCCTTCAAGAGACTTTTGCAATGGAAACCTCTTTAACGCAACGCTCTGGCCACATGAGCAAGATCACTATTGATGCCATCTACAGCCAAGCTATAACACCTTCTCCATCGGATATTGACTTTATCATTAAAGAAATCTTTTCTTATCAAAACTTGAGCTCATGCATTTCCTACATCAACCAAATAATGGCAGCTAGGGGTATTAGCCTCACTAGTATCATTGGAGCTTTAAGCCAGAATCTCCAACGAGACTTTGTTCCAGGATATTCCAAGATCATCTGGTTAGAAGGGCTAGCTAATATTGAATACAACGTAGAGTGTGGAGGGTCAGAGGAGATACAGACCGGGGCATTGGTTGCAATCTTGCGTCAAAGCAGGCTCGTGGTCAGTAAAACAGATTCCGCCAGGCTTGTGTTCGAAAAATCCGGTTCAATTCAGGATTGAGGTCTTCATACTGCCTGTATGGTGCATCATCATCTTTCATGCGCCCCCATGCTCAATTGAATGTACTTTCGGTGATAAAATGTGATAAACACAGCCTTGTGTTAGTACTTGGGATGTTTTCATTGTATGGATGTCGCGGGCACTCTAATTTTTCTACCGTGAAGAGATTTGACTTTTAAGCGCATTCGGCTTATACTACATAATTATGAATCTTTCTAAAGCTATACTATCTTCGCAGCCTGCTAAGAGCATATACTTGTTACATAGCTCAAGCATGAGTTGAGGAAATGAATATGTGTGCGCATGATATTGACACTATCTTAGTATGCGCAATGATATTTCTGCCTAGCATCAATTTAATACATTTCAGTCCCATCTGATTAAGTGTGATATCCCCAGTACCAGGTAAACCCGATAGGAAACTAGCCGGAACCACTGGGGGGGTCCCAGTCTAATTATGGGTTGTGCAAACTCTTTAACCACCTATTCGAGCAAGAGCTATAGCCTGTATTATTAAGATAAAGGTCCTGACTGCCAAGTTCTAAGTACTTCAACCATAAATAAATTGATTGTTAGGCGAGTCCTCATTTCAGGCCTCTATATGGACCCCCCAGATCACCATTGCGCTCATTGGATCTATAAACCTCCAAGCTTGTGAAGGGATGTATCCTTCATTTTATTGCTTCTTTTGTCTGAACTAAGTTTGAAGATATTCTTCAGCGATTCAGAACCATAATGCCAATGGTGAACAGAAAACAGGGAAAGCATTAAGGCGGTCATCTGTCGCAAAGTCTGCCGGAAATCAAGCTTGTGCACAACAGAAAGCAAAAAGTCCGAGCAATGTGCTTTCTATCAGTCTTTGGCGTCTCTGATGGATTGTGCAGTTGCATGTAACTCTGTTCTGAAAGAGGTATTTATTATATAGCAACCTCCGCCTGTGATTTTTTTTCAATTCTTGATACAATCAAAACAATGGTGTACAGCTTGCGCCACTAGAGACTGTCTAATAGTTCCAGTGATCGAATTATGTTAGACTAAAATGGCCCGCGCGTTTTCTCAACCCGTCCTGAGTGGTTCATTTTAACATTAATCGATTCCGAACTCAAGGGTTGAAACTTCGATTGATATAGTCCCAGCCGTTCTAAAGGAAGAACAAAAGTTAAAACAATGTCAACTAGTTTCAAGATTTTGATAGATTTTGATGGATTTTGTGACGGTGTACCTGCAAACGAATTGAATTGCGGATAGTAACCTGCAGACGCTGAACTAGTCTATCTCAATTCAGAAAGAGCAACTCGAAGCGTTTTACGACAATAGAGAGTTCATATACATGAAACAGCTGGAATATAGAAAAAAAAACAAAACAAAACTGTTTAGAAAGGTTTATGTTGCCCATAGTATTCAGCCCTGACACCCGCTTCGACTCTATCAACTTCCACAGCTGTTCTTAACGTGGGCAACAAGGTATATATGTTGATATATGTATACCCTCGGTGACTTTCACGCGTGGAGTCGGACTCTTATCCGCGTGATAGCAAGTTTTCTTGTATCACTTCACGTACAAATTACCGATAATCAATACATAAGTTCTCGGGATATAATACTCGGTCGGGGCCCCTTTTTGTCGTAAAGTCTTTGCATATGCATTCTATGTCTGATTCTGGTTCTAAAATGAACTTTCTGCGTAGTAGCAGCCGTCAAATTCCACTGAGTTGTTCCTGGTCCGACTCCTCATTTCATAATAATCAAGGCAGATTTCAAGGTGTGTAGGCTCAGCACATGGGAAAAAAAAGACAGGGAAAGGGAAAGACAAAAATGAATACATGAAGAGTATAAAGGAAAAGAAAAGAACTGAAATTCGAGACATTGCAAATTCGTGGGTGTGACTGACATGACGTCTCTTGTCTGAAGCTTGCTAGCAAGGAGCAGCTGTTGATCTGTTAAAGAGGTATCAGATAGTATGACATTTTTAAGACACTCGTTAAGGAAGTAAGAATTATCGTAAGCCTTCAAAACGAAAGTTTGCCGTTCCAACTTCTTGACACTATAACTGCTTTGACAATGTCTGTATGGGTTTCACCTATCAGGCAGGCGTTATCTCGCGGTTTTTAAGTTTCGCAGTTCCGTTCAGGTTGTATTTCAGTTTCTTATCTCTTCTCATATCCATACAGTCCAAATGCTATCCCTGTGCATCGATAAAAGCTTTGATGTTGTGCCACTTTCTGAAGATATTATGCGGATCATACTTCTTCTTCAGCTGTCGAAGACGCGGCAGATTATTTCCAAATATTGCCTCATTGGGCAGGTCACTCGCTGTGGTCTGGTCAATGCTTTCCATAGTAACGGGGCATGTTGCGGTACGTGGAATAATTGGAGTATACGTACTCGCACTAACTTACCCGCATAGTTCGCATACACTCCGGTTCCTTGCTTGGACATATCATAGTTGGGTTGGGCTGCGATGCCTGCAATTGTTCCAATCCGGTTCACTAGATCTGTCTGTAGCGAGCGGATTCTCTCATCCAGGTGAGGATCATGCCATCTGAATATAGAACTGACATTATAATAAGGGCCCCGGCTAGCAAAAGCGGTAGCATTGTTTGGAACCTTGGCGACCTGTGTATTTGGCAGGAGTTCAAAAAATAACGTGCTTTCCCTGGCCTGCGGGAACTCCCTCAAGATACCATCGAATTCGTGGAATATCGATTCTATGAGATTAGAATCCAAAGGGAGAGTAACATTCGATCCTCGCAGGCTTTTTCGAGGACCCACGTTTTCGTCGACAGGAAGGATAATATCGAACCCGCCAAGACTGCGGCGACGAGTCATTGTATCAACCGCATTCAACATGCCGTTGAGACTATCGTAGGGAATCATGTGTGCCTCATTCACCACTGGTTCCAGGGAGAACACCGGGGAAAAAAATCGCTCTGCATCTTTTTGATTCCCGTTATAGAAGACAACCACCAAGATGGCGCACTCGGTCAATAAGCGCGACGCGGTGAACCCAAACCAGAAGCCCTGCTTCCCATCGGTAAGAGTCTCGAACTGGTTCGCAAAATGAACAATCCCACGTAGCTTATCAGCTGAGAAAAGAAGCGTCCCAGCAAATACAGCGTGGTTCTGTTTATGAGCTCGGAAGCACAACTCTATGGCCACTCCAAAACTTTGACCGGCCCCACGAATGGCCCAAAAGAGATCTGGATGTTGCTCTTCTGATGTGGTAATAACGCTGCCATCGGCTAGAATCATTCTTGCCCAGAGCAAATTGTCAACCGCTAGGCCAAACTGGCCGGTCAGCCATCCGTAACCCCCTCCCAATGTTGCTCCTGCTACCCCAATATGGTTCAGTGTACTTCCGACAACAGCTAGCCTGTACTGGGCTGCTGCAACATCGATATCTTCCCACAGGGCCCCACCCTGTGCAGTGAGCACTTCAGCTACCGGATCCACGTGGACCTTTCGTAGATTGCAAAGGTCCAAGACGATACCACCACGAATTGTCGAGGCTCCAGTAGTTGAGTACCCTCCGCTTCTGGTTGTGAAGGGAATTTGATGGCATCCGGCAAAGCGGACGACTGCGGCTGCTTCGTCGATTGTTCTGACCCGGACTACAGCACCCTTAACTGGGTCAATATTTATAGTAGCTGCAGCATTGTGCTAGTAACAATAACTTACAACTTGTTCATCGCAAGAGTCACTCCATTGCTTGATTCCGTCCTCGTAACCATCACATCCCCAGGTTAGAATTTCGACGTGCGTTCCTTCCAGTTCCTTCCTCAAGTTAGAGATGGTAGATAAAGGTAAGAACGGCATTGTAAGAGAATGTATTTAGTTTTTGTTGCAGATCAAAACACTTGCTCGTGTGGTTTCGCGAAGTTTTAGGCACATCAGATGATTTTAGAATGACATCAAATTGTAGAACGGACCCACCCATGACTCCTCTGTAGTTAGTCTCGTGTAATTCCTGGGGCTTGAGAAGGCGATAATTCTTTCCATGGTACTGAAAATTTAAAGTTAAAACTGAGAAGCAACTTAAAGTTTTATTGTGGTGTGATAGCAAACCTCGGGAAATCAGCGCATCCGCGGATACAAAAGTATTTCTCAAACCGAGAAGGGCGGATACGACACCTACGATCTCCATACATTGTTTCTGTACGATAACGGGGTAATCTAAGACTCTCTCAACAAAGGCCTCACATCATAGTCCTTAAGTCCAATCCACTTACCTGATTCCCTCAAACACATAGTCTTTTCGTCTCGCATTAAAATTCAATAGAAATTCCATTTGACATGCAGTTTAAAGCTTAGCGTGGGCGTTGTTAAAGCCAGTCCCTCTGTTTCTTTCCTCTCCCCGGTGCTAGTATGCCAAGATGAGTACCAGCTTTTAAGCGAACAAAAGGCACATTGATGCACGAGTTTAAGTATCTGAATTCAAGCCCTCGAAAATGTTCGCGTGGTCATATTGCATGTCAAGTACAATGGTTTATGACTCTCTGGTCCATGACGTACGGATGACAGCACCTTCATGCAGACAGAACATAAAATGAACATCTCAGGGTACCTCTGCAAGTTCATATTCTTTTTTCATCAGCAATTCATATCTAACCACTTTCATCACTAGACTGTCGTAAATTGTGACCTGTGATGAGCCACTCAAGTGGGCCTGGATTCCTGCAGAGATCTGTGGTCTCCTCTTTCATCTTCCTCAATGCAGAACGTGAAACGAAAGTGGCGTTATTCAAACGAAGCAATAAAGTGAGCACATATCGGTAAATTAACCACCAGCTTATCTTATCAACCTCTCGGGCTGGAAGTTTCCTAACTTATGTAGGCACTGTCTAGCCCCCATCTCAGGCTATATAGAGCAAAATGAAACACCAATTACAGCAGCATGGCGCGAGATCAGAGAGGAAACCTCCTTAAATTCACACGACGTGAACCTTTGGCGCAAAGGCAAACCCTACTCTTTCAGCGATCCCTCAGTTGGTCGGCAATGGACAATTTATCCCTTCTCATTCCGACTGGTATGCTGCGACGAAGGTGGTCGTGGGGGAAAGGGTATTCAAATTGATTGGGAGCATGAGAGCTGGGGATGGTACAATCCCGAGTCAATAAAGGATGATGAACAATTTGGCGGAGTTCCGCGACTAGAAGAAAGCCTAGGACGAGTCTGGTTTGAAGGTAATATGAATGAGGGGGCAAGCAAGGCATTAATTGCAGGTCTGGAGCAGCTGAAGGCAGACCACCAAAGCGGATTCAACGAATTGACGTTGGCTGCACTAAGAACCTACCAGGATGTGATAACCCAGATGCAGCCGGAGAATAGTACAAAGTGGTGGGAAACCGCTCGCATGGTTGTATGGCATCTCTGGAAAAATGGGCGGGAAGACATGGGGTCCGCTATCTTGAATCCATTCCTGGAACTGCTGGCCGAAATACAAGGTATCCTACATCAGAGCCTTGACCGCGGCGTGGAATGGGAGTGCTTGCAAGCCGCACTCTCCCACCACATACAGAGGCAAATAGATATGCCCACACGCATACAAAACTCCTTTGCGGCTTATGTCCAGTCCAAATTTGTTCCCATCGTGCAGTCCAAACCTAAAGCATCTCTGAACATTCTCACATTGTCCGCTAGCTCTAACATTCGCAATAGCGTGCTGGATGCATTCGCCGCTGTTCCAATTCCTGATCTAGACCTACGGATTCTGGAGTCTCGGCCACTCTACGAAGGTGTCAGCATGGGGTCTTCCATAATCTCTGCTTTTCAAAATAAGTTTCCAGGGACTTCTGAAAAGCACCTAAAAATGACAATTTATACCGATGCATCCGCTGCGCTCGCCAGCAAAGATGTGGATCTCGTCCTCCTAGGAGCGGACCGAATCTCCGACTGTGGGGCAATCAACAACAAGACCGGATCCTTACCGGCTATTTTAAGCGCGAAGCATATCTCTCCAAACTCCAAATTGTTAATTCTTACCGCGTTGGAGAAAATCGCTGGGTATGGTGTGGACGACGATCACAACCAGGAACTGAATGATCCTAAAAGGGTCATGGATGGTTGGTTGGATGCTGGTGTGAAAGGAGTCAACATTATCAACGACAGCGTTTGGAATGCTTATACCGGGGATAATTGTGTGATCAAGGTGAACAATATCTTCTCTGAATGGGTTCCAGCTGGACTAGTGGACGCATACATATGTGCAGAGGGTACTCTGGATGTTTCCGGTATCGAAGAGAAGGCAGAGCAAGTGAAACAAAATATTGAAAGGTACTTTGGCGGTTTGTAGTCCAATAAAAAAGGGGTTGATTCTCTAATCTGATTTTTGTCTTTTTCACTGTAGGAATTTGCAATACATGCCATTTCTCCCTGGTCTCCTGGATATCTCGAACGTGTGATTTCTTTTTTTTCTGGAACATAAAATGAGAAGTGTCATGTCCTGTTTGCATGTAGGTCCATACAGATTTTGATTGCCAAGGTTCAGATCATGACGATACATACAATGTGGGGTCCCGGACTTACTAATTGTACATACTACTGAAGATTCTAAAGCCATCCTGCTTTGCATGCACGTGCCCACCAAACTATTGAAAGCTTTTTGGTCTGGTGGAGTTCAAGTTGTTATCCTAAACCGTGAGAGGTATTTATCGATGTCGTGGTCGCAGAGTGGATGCTCCTTCCATAAATCAATATTCGGATTTCAAGCGGTTGAAGCGGTATAGGTGGCGCGTAGCGGTTTGTACGTATTAGTTAAAAGCTTAGCAGATCCCCGAGTTCATGAAAAGCAAAGTAAAAGGGTTTATGCTACCCGTTATCGATATTATAACTTTATATTAAACTGAATTACCACGTTTTGTTGTGATATTTCGCATAATCGTCCCCTTCATGTCGGATTTTCAAAAAGACCTTCTAAATAGAAAGGTTTACGTAAAATATATTTTATAAATAGTTTAGGTCGGAACCTAGCTTAGGGGTCAAACGGATTTAATTATTATAGAACGGGACGGAAAATCCTATTCGGTAAGGGTTTATACTATAAAATCGTGTATTGAGTCGCTCGAAAAAGGTCTATTACTGATCTATACCCCTAGTATAGCATTTTAGCAAGATAACGTGAAGATTCACCTATTAGAGTTAATAAAAAAGTGGTTTAAAACTTAAAAATGTTGAGTTTCCATTATTAGGGTGATGAAGTGGGGCAGGTGTAGATACTTTTCGTCTCTATCTGTAGGTGGCCACTTAGATTCAAATCCGTGTCGCGCTAGGTAAAGTCTGCGAAGTTCCTTTCCACAGTGGCCCAGTTCTGATTGCGCACATAATACCGTTATAATCAATTAGGTTTCTGTCATTCCTTTGCTGCATCTTCCTAGGGCCCTGTGGAGCCCATGCTACTCTGCGTCATGCCTAGTTCTTAAGAAATTTAACTATTACTGTGGGGATTGAAAACAGAATTCTGGCTGTGGTAGAAGGCCCAGGAGATATACGTCTGGTATAGAAAGAGGCAGGACAATATGGAGTGAGGATGTTTCGGACCTCTTGGAAATTAGCGGATTTTCGTTGTTAAGAAACTTGTCACTCTCTGCCTTGAAAACAGGACTGCCAAAATTGGTAAAAGCCAAAGTGTCCATGGTATTGTCTGATCTTGTAGCAGAAACATAGTTTCCAGTACCATAACTGCCATGGTCGAGCATTCTTACTTGAGTCATCCGCCGCTGAAACGAATTATGCATCATTGTTTCAGGAAATTTTAAGAGTACTCGGGCGGGATTTCAGTGAACTCATCTATTCGCTGCATTTAGCGGGTTATCTCTTATATCAGTTACAAGTCACCAATCATTGATAGTCATATGAAGTGCGTGGGCTTTTCGGTGACATGTCGACTTGCTTCATCCAGCTACAAGCAAGGGCTTTGGTCCTTTATTCTGTACTGAAACCCACCTCAAACAATATCGATTCGATTGTCTCAGTTATTCCAGCTACCTGGCACCTATTCCTCCTCTGTTTATGAGGGAGATCATGTACAAGTTTTACGTTCTATGTCCATGAAACTAAGTTCAACGACAAGTTTGATCCAAGAACACTATATATGGTAGCAGAGCAGCACAATAATGTTTGGCATTATCAGAAGAACGATCCGGCACTGGTAGATTGCCTCGCTCCCAGCGGGCCTTAATCCACCGCCTTTTTCGCTAACAACTGGATCAGTACTCCAGAAAGCAGATCAAAATAGATTTTCGAATGGCAAGCCTGACAATACACTTTCCTGGTATCATATTTTTAATCAATAGAGATCATTCTCGAAGCAAGTTGTGCCATTTCTTGAACACGTTATCCGGGTCGTACTTTGTTTTCAGGAGCTGCAGACGGGGTAGGTTTGCCCCAAAAATATCAACCAACGGTGCTGCTTTGCCTATAATTTCTCAGCCGCTTTGCTTATTGGGGCGGTATGTCTCTGGGGAAAAATCTAACATACCAGCGAAATTAGCGTACACTACTCCTACACCCTGATGGTGTTTCTCATAATCTCGTATTCCCCCGCAGTCTTCCACCTCCATTAGAAGTTCTTGTTGGAGATTGTGCATGCTCTTGTCTTGATCTGGGTCGTGCCAGCAGAAAATAATGCACGCGTTGTAGTTGAGCCCGCGATTGGCGCACGCAGTGCCCTCTAAGGGCACTTGGACAGTCGCAGCATATGGAAGCAGCTGAAAAGTCAATGTAGATTCCTCAACGCGCCGGTTCGTGGTAATGATGGCTTTAAATTTTTGGAAAAGGTGACACACACGATCGAAGTCTAGCGGCAAGGTGACGTTAATCCCACTGATACTCTTGCGGCCAGTTGAAGAGGTAAATCGTTCAATGGTGGTATTGAGTCGCTCATAAGGCATCATATCGGTTTCATTAACGATTGGTCTTATAGACAACAGGGGTGAGAAAAAGCTTTGTGCTTCCTTAAAGGACCCATTATAGAAGAGTATAGCAAATATCGCCGCTTTGCGTTCCGGCGGGGGACAAGTGAATCCGAAAAATAACCCCTGGTCTTTGTTTGCCCTCATGCTGAAGTTATTTGAAAACTCGACGACCTCTTTCAAACTTTCGACAGAAAATATCAACAGTCCTCCAAAGACTGGGGACTTTTGATCATGTGCTTGGAACACAAGCTCAGTGACGACTCCAAAGGCCTGTCCCGCACCTCGAACAGCCCAAAACAAGTCAGGCTCTTTTGTCTCAGATGCGACAATATCACTGCCGTCAGCCAGGATAATCCTCACGCTTAGGAGATTGTCGATAGCGAGACCATATCTACCAGTCAGCCAGCCGTATCCTCCACCTAAGGTAGTTCCAGCAACCCCACTCAGATCAAGGGTACCCCCGACAATAGCAAGTCCATATCGTGCTGTAGCTGTATCAACATCTCGCCATGTTGCGCCTCCTTGGACTGCCACGGTCTTGCTAGCTGGATCTACAACCACCCTGCACATTTTGGATAAATCAATGACGATTCCACCATGTGTTGAGGATGAGGCATCTGTGGAGTGGCCTCCAACTTGGACCACGAAAGGGACATGGTTTTTTCTTGCAAAACTAACAACAGTAGCGACCTGTTGTGATGTTGTAACACGCACAACGGCTCCCTATAATTTTAAATGAGACACTGAAATGAGGGGCTCCGTTCGAGATCAACGACGAATAAACATGTTGAGAGCTATGATGCGATGTGGAAAACGGAGATACTTACAGCCTCTTTTTCACACGTTTCACTCCATCTTCTGATGCTCTCGGCATAACCTTCTGAATCAGAGGTCAGAACCTCTGCATCGTCACCAAGACTCTTTCTCAAGGCGAGGGCTTTGGCGTACGTCAAAAAGGGCATAATGATGTATCGAAACAAAAATTATAACACTTACATCAAAAAGAGCAACGCCGATTTGATAGCTAATATATGACCTAACGAGATATAGGTGGCATTATTTACTTGTGACGTGGAACTGCGTGGAGCTCAAAGTTCATGTGACAGATGGATGGGGCTAGAATTGATGAATGGTCCTTTTCGAGTCACTCGTACGGTTCGTTTTGGTGAGAAAAGGTTTAGAACTGAAGTCTAGCGTGGTGGCAAAATTGTGTGATTTTTAGTTGGTGTTCTAGGCTTGCGTACATAATCATGAGACAATTATGAGGTTCGATGAACACGAGGTATGAGTGAACAAAAAAAAAGAAAAGCTATCTTAACGGTTAGGTATCCAAGCTCACAGCAATAATGCACAACAAAGTTTCATCCTTTCACGACCCTAATAATACCACGGCGTATCCATTTAGTAGCAAGTACCACGACATAATCACGTACTTGACTGGTATGGACAGCAGTCTGGGGAAGACGTCTACTAGATCAAAATTCAAATCTCTCCCTATCTACTTTTATTTGTTACTCAAGTTTAATGCTTTTGGCCCAGGCTCTGACTGACAAAACCCGGGGCCCCAGTACCTTTTTCCCATTCTCTGATAGATAATTGCTACCTAACATTGGCATTTCTCCACAGCCAGGATGCTCAAGCTAGGTCCCACGCAAGTCTGTTAACTGGTAGTCGGGTATGTAGCCATCATATTTTCTAGTTGAAAGCCTGCTCCAAATATCAATCACCATCCACGCCATGGTTGTTGCACCTAGTATCGGCAACACTGTTATTGAGGTACCCCAAGAGCTGCCTCGGGGTCATACTCGTATTTCACTTGGAAAGAAGATAATTCGCGACACGAAATTTTCGAAAGAAGTACAGTAAACATGCAGTATAGTATGCAGCATATCCATTGATATAACTACAAGAAATTGCGACACGAAGCAAACCGAAATCTTTTTGTGGATGTAGTTGATTCGTAGAGCCCGAAATGATGTTGCGTGGTCGCATTGTGGAACCTCTCTTAAGGTTAAAGAGCAACAAAAGTGATATAATGCAAAATGTAGCGTTGAAGCAACCAGACCACTCTATATGCTTCCCTGGTTCAGTCGTTCGTTTCTATGTCGTCAGTTTCAATTAACTTCAATGAAATCTCATGTACCTGTTTTTGTGTAACTCATAGTCTCGACAATTCAGCCCGCGGCAGACAAAATGCAGACAAAATGCAGACAAAATGCAGACAAAAATGGGGGGGAAGAAACAGCTACCAAATTCGCAGCGTAAGGAGTATACGTGATAATGGCCCAAATTTCTTATAGAGTAGGAAACAAGGTTTGTTTCGACGTTGGATAGTCCTATACTGTGTTACGTCTTATTTAAATCGTTCGTGTTTCTCATTGACCATTCTGATCGTCTGACATTTGTCTCTTGTGGTTGCTGCATCTCGATGCAAGCAAAATGAAATTTCGTAACATAGAACAATAGCATCCGTCGCCGTATTTTATTACTTTTAAAATTGTAGGGTTTGTAAGTGTAGACGGGGTCTGGACAATTATGGCTACGCTATTTCAGTCGCCGCCGTCAACTCACGCACTTCAAAGAATTTTCATTCGTGAAGGTCGTACCGTATTTTCTGCGGTCTGGTCTTGCCTTTTTTTCGCAATCTAGGTTGGCTCACCAATACAGAAGAACTTAGGATTATACTGATGACATCATCATCAAATCTTAGAACCATTTGTCAACTCACGGCGCCACCACAAATTTAGGCGCTAACATAACCTAATCGCATCTCTGGAGCAAAGGAACTTAGAACATATTAACCACCTCATCACGCCTAGCTATCTCACGCCATTGAATTGCCTATGGAAACTAGCAGATCTCCAGAGAAGATTTCCACAAGAATTGTGTGCTCTCCTTGAGTCTGCAAAATGCCCTCTAGAAATACAAAGGCGATCACTCGGATTGCAATCATCGGTGTTGGCCAGGTCGGCGCGGCTGCTGCTTATGCGCTGATCTTAAGCTCCGTCGCTAGTGAACTGCTCTTGGTCGATATCAAAACTGACTTGAGAGACGGCCAGGTCCGGGATCTTTCCGATGTAAGCTACAGTTGCAATAGCGGAACGCGTGTCCGAGCAGCCACACACAAAGAAGCAAGCCAATGCGATATTGTGGTTATCACGGCCGGGTCAAAGTCGTACAGAGGTATGAGCTACTATATGAGCATGGTTCTTTCTAATATTTCATCAGGTGAAACTAGCGTTCAGCACATGTGGCAGAAAATTGCCATCATTGAGAGCATCAACAATGCAATGAAGCCATTCGAATCAGGCACAATCTTACTCATCGTGGCAAACCCTGTCGACCTTCTCACTTCCTTCGCCCAAGAGCACTCTGGACTTCCAGCATCTCAGGTGCTGGGCTCAGGAACCTTTCTCGACTCAGTAAGGCTTCGTGGAATATTAGCAGACAAAGCCGGAGTACGTGCTTATAATCTTCAGTCTCTCTAAGACATGGCTAATCGAAATGTAGGTATCCGCTAGTTCGATAGACCTGCAGGTATTGGGCGTGCACGGGGAGTCACAAGTTGTTGCGTGGTCGAATGCAACACTTTGTGGAGTCCCGATCGACAAAGCGCTCCCCAGCAACAGTTTCAACCCCACTGACCTTGCCAACGAGTGTAAACAAAGATCGCAAAAGATTATCCAAGCTAAAGGAAAAATATCTTTTGGAATCGGCTCCGCCATATCCAGAATCTGCGCTTCCATTATATTCGATAGGCGAAATGTCTACCCTATTAGCCATTTCCAGCCGGAATGGAGTTGCTGTTTCAGCTTGCCGGTGGTTCTTGGAAGAAGTGGAATCATAAGAACTGTCCAAATGCCAATGAATAGAGACGAGAAGGTCAATATGGACGATTCGGTGAAGTTACTAAGCGCAACACTCAAGCGGATCCGTAAGGATCAGTAAGAGTGAAAACAAGCTCAACGCATCGCCCCCAAGGGCTTACATATCATCTCTGACACGCGCAAGCTTGTCTTTTCCTCTGATGATTTCCTTATGCCCCTCCTTTTTGTTTCTTTTTTTTCTTTGGTTTCTTATCCGTCTGCAAATGTGTCACAGATTAACATGTTCTCCCAAAAGTCACCATAAGCATGGTTTCTCACACAATGGTATATTTCATGGCCTACCTTAACAGCGTGGGGAACTGTAGTATCCCCAACTAGGAATTCAAAAAATCATACATCAAGCAAGCCGACACATTTCTTACTGCTTGGCTTACCGGCAGTCTGTGCCCTTATCCGTGCAAAATCACTTTATCAAACTTCGCTTTGCTTCATTAAGGGTTAGCCCGCAGAATATGAGACTTAATCGTTGGTGACATTTTCCTCCAAATGTTAGCCCCCTAAAAATTAACACAACTTGAATTGATTGATTGATTGATTAAAGGAACCTTTATCTTCGATCAACCCAAACTAGCGATAGATACGGACAATATGTAGTGACAAAATGGCACTCCTCTTCTACTCATTTTTTGTTCAATTTAGGATAGTAACAGCCCCACGGAGAGAACTGACGCCGTCTAAAAAAGGCCTCGATGAGCCTTACATTTTCCAACGCCCGGCACGTAACACTGGCAAAGCAAGTTTCGCCGCTTTTACCTATTATATCCGCAATGGTATTAACACCGCATTCACATTGTCTCTTATTCGGACCAGGCTCACGGTAACCCTGTTAGATTGAGGTTGTGATGCTGTCCTCTTCTGACGTTAGAAAAATGCTTGCAGACTTCTGGCTTCTTTGTAGCTGTGGACTGCTTGTTCAGGTTAATGTTGTGGCAGACGTCCACTCAAGTATGGAACAAAGGGACAGTTTTCTGCACTATTTGGAAAAGGAATTGTACCCCGGCGTCTTCATTCTGGATCATGAAATGAAGGTTGTTTGGGAATGTGGTGATGCGGACTGGGAACACCGTGCCATCCGTTGCAGCAGCATGACGGAGAGTCATATCTCCCTGTACGTATTGCCTACGGTTTATAGTTATCGAATGGCAATGATAGGGAAGCTCCTGGATCGTTCCCACATTTGGAACATCTCTCCTCAGGCGCTCGTAAATATTGGAACAGTTTATCCCGTTTCCGTTTTAGACTGCCAACAACCACGTCCAGTCTCCATCCTCATTTCCGTTCTTACTCTAACTTCTCTTCTCGTGACCTTATATTTCCACGCAGCTACATACAAGTAAAACCTCTGTGAACACTATTACCTCCAAGAACCCGTTCAGTTGCTGATTTTACTGTAACGTCAGTGCCTCAGAGACATGATGGGACTGATCCATTCAGTGTTTGGCAAACTCGAAGCGAGAGAATATTCTATGCCAGAAGTTCATTATAGCATAGCACAGATGTAGTTGTTTAAATGGATCACATAAGTATATGTGGAACAAAACCCTTGCTCGGTTCCACCGTGGACGGATTTCTTTTATCAGTGAACTTGTCATTATCTCTTGTATTTCATCCTGTTGCATTTGTGTAGTAAGCAGAAACTGTATAAACTCGTATTACGTGACTTAAGAATAGGGACTTGGAAATATGATTTATAGAACTCAAGCAGAATACGTGCGATTCCGTATACAACTAGTCCCACTATGTAAGTTAGCTGGAAATATTTACCTAGTAGACATAGTGGTTCTTTCTGATGCTTTTCCGATGGGAATGTAATGCGGGACCCTGGATGTTCAGGCTAGAAACTTAGTGGCCATTCTGGATGCTGGCCCAGTGGGCCTTGTTGCAATGCTTGCGGCTAAGTTATTTACGCTATACCTTGTCCTCGTGATTGAGAAAGAAAATAAAAGGCTTAAGCGGGCTAATTAGCTTGGTGCTAACACAGCAATAAAAGTTGACAAACTCAGCGCTATAGAAGAACTCGACTCACTAGGGAAAAACTCTTTGATTCTATGATAAAAGCAGTCAGGTGACCGATAAAATTTAATTTCTATTAAGAGCTAGTGGCCCTATTGGGTTCTTTGGCAAACCTAGGGTTTCAAGCTCAGAATGCGAGTCTTCACCTTGAATAACTCTAAGATCTCAATATCAGTATTTCCAGAGTTCCCTAAACTCCTCTGGCCACGCGGGTAAATTTATGACTTGTATTGGGTGTGTGTATCCCCTCGGAAGACTGGGTGATATTGCTGTGGCTTTAGATCAAAGGATCGCAGCAGATGGAAGAATGGCATATACACTGCAATATCCCTGGTCATCGTATCAAAACTAGAAATAGCGGCTATAATTATGACGAAGATGCTATTGCGACGCTCTGCTTGTTTAACGAAGCATTAAAAGTTCTTATTCAACGGCCGACGGAGCCATTTGTTAAAGGAATGGATGATCACACCGCTCATTGTCCGATTTACGGTATCGAATTTTGTGTGTGCTTTTGTGAGGTTAACTTTATTCTTCCAGTTTGTTCCAAATATAACGGATATATGCCAACCACTAGACAGCCAAGTTTTTCAATACTTAAAACCCTATTACAACGTAGAAAGGACTGAGATTGTTAGGTGGGCACAAATGTGACCAAGTACGATTTTCTCTGGATTATTAGTGGTGTACGAGAGAAGTACTATCGTAGCGCACTATCATAGCATCATTTAAATCACAGGGGATTATATCAGGACGATATTACCGGAGACGTGCTTCGTCAATAGAATACGCTGTCACCAGTGACTGAAGCCACAAGGCCTGCGACGAACTTACCACCTGATAATACGATTGAGCAAGTGCTTTCGTTAAATAATAAGCTTGTTCAGGACTTTAATTCTCAGCACCTAGGAATTCATTAAATTACGACAGCGAATCACAGGACCAGTATTAAATCAGGGTCATTGGGCCTAAGTTCTGCTTGTGCTAATCGTGAGATGGTGTCGCTCATTGAAAAGGAAACTAACAAGATGATGCAACCTTAGGCGCTATATACTAAAGCGCAACAAATGAGCAGCAAGCCCACTTATACTATGAATAAGCAAACCTCATAAATTGCTAATTTCATATATTAATAAGGTTCCTGGGCTGCCGAGATAGTATAGGTTAAAATTGACGCATGGGCGATTTCTTCCGATGGGTTCTCCTGTTATGGTCGGAATTCTAGTTGGGCTAGCCTAGCTTAATCGCTGTGTGAGAATTGTTGCAATAGTTCGGTCATACAACCTTCATTTAGAAGACACATGATTCCAAGGGCTTGACAAATTCATCACGCAATGGGAATTTGCAATTTTCGAAGGAGATAGTTGCCTCTGTTGGAATTTGTAGCTTTTTCTTCAATAACCTCACTTCCTCCGGAAGATTCGAGATAGATTGATGACCATATTCGAGTGCTTCCACTCTTTTTGATCGTTTCGATACTTTGTGGACATATTCACACTTCTGCAATTTTGATCGCGGCTTATATTCGGAAGATCCTTTTCTAGCTGTAGGAATTTCGAATTGAGGCTTTCTCAGTACCATTTTCAACTAGACAGTGGGCTCTCTTTCGGTTTTTCGTTTTGCTATTGGAATAACTCTCGGTCTTGAACAGCGTGCTTGAGAAGCGCTGCGCTCACCAAGCGGAGAATTTATTCCAAGAGATCGAGGGAGGGCTCATAAGCCATGGATTAGAAGTTTGTGAAAGGTGCTTGTCTCAATAGAACTGTGGGCTCTTAGCTCATTATATGGTGACCACATCCCATTTTGGCGAGTATTTGCAGGACCTTGAGCAGTATGGCAGTTATCATCTGACGGGCGGTTTTCATTTGAGGGCAATAGCCGCGCATCATAAACAGGAATCTTGACCGCATTATTAGCTATATGTTGAGCAAAGAAGGAAGTCAGGAGATGTTTCCGCAGATATTTAGGAATGAGTCATTGAATGAAAAGCCGTCAGAGAAGTTTTCAACTGCGAAATTCTGATCATACTGCGAGTCCAGCGGAGGAAATTCTGGGGAGTGCACGTCCACCAGGCCACACCGTCTGCAAGGGCCTAGTGTGTTAGAATCTCTACCGTGGTGATCAGTCCCAATTTCCACTATTGTTCCTAGCTTCTAGATCAAGATATTGATGGGCCATTTAAAAGGTGCAGCATTATATTGGTCTTAAATCCATCTGAGCAAATTTCCTACTCAAACCTCGTGCATAGAGTAGATCCATTCGGCCAGTAACGGTCGAGGGTAGCCCTGAAATTTGGACTCATCGTAAGGTTTGAGTTTATTTTCTTTTCTTTTCATACCGGAAGAATATTCACGGCCTACCCGTTTATTTTAATCGACTGAACAAGATGCCTTTCGGAACAGGCTTTACAAACGAGAAATCCGAATCATGTGATACTTCGGCCGAAAGGAAATTAGCGGATGGCCGACGAAAACATCAAGAGATCACGGTCTAGCCAAATGTCTACCATCCTAATACAGAGTAAATTCACCGCACTAATAGGAGAGCGTGACATAGTATTGGCCGCTTGTTGGTTGCTTCACCTCCAGCCATAGAAACCGATAAAACAGAATCTTGGTTGACATACGTTTTGGATCAACCTGAATGGCGGGTCTTGCTTTTGAGTTTCGTGTCGATATCGGATATTTGTGGCTGTGATTGAACGTACATTGAACTCTAATAGCCTAGTGAGTCTTTCTAAAAGCTACAAAAATGGCGGGATCGCCATAGCGTAAAATCATCTGTTAATTCTATAGTCGACTATTCGAATCAGTTTGTCATATAATCCAGCAATGCCTCCTGGCAGGCAAGAAGGGTAAGCTGTGACAACCCGGATGTCCAGTCCTCAGTAAGATGCTGATAAATGAGATCTTGACGCAGAAATCACTGGTACCACAAAGAATGCTTATGTTGTAGTGAAGGTGTCTGTCAGCTTTTCACTATTCAACAAGCAACAACCACGTGGTCCTCCTGTTTTGCAAACGAACCGATTGGGAGTTTCTGCCCCACACCTCCGACGACACCCGGTATAGAAGACTTGAAATTGGAAGCAGCCGCTGCAAGTCCCGCGGCAGACGGATCATATATTTCGACTCCCAGTCTATCTACACAAGCGTGTGAAGTGCTCCGGCAATATGAATGGTCATTTGATCAGACCAGAATTATTAAGAGAAGCACGTATCTTTACTAGTTCGAGCAAGTCCAAGTTGCATCGACATACACCTGATGGTATGCTCTGCTATGAGTCACTCACAACCGTTTTTGTATCAAGAAAATCCAATTGAAATGGTTCTTCAAAACCTGTAAAAAAGCTCCAATATGAAGGAATATACTGCCGCCATCATTTGTCCTGCAAGTTCAACAATTAGGCAGAAAAGAAAGGAACGCGGGCGAAAATTGCTCCCTTCGGTTAACGCCTCTTGATACATTCACTGTACAAGAGTCTAATTAAAGGCCAGTCAGTGTAAACATGTGATAGTACCGAATCAATTTGATATATGGTATCCATATATTGCGGATGGGCGGAGGCAATTGGAAAAATAGGTAAAATTTGCAACAAAAACAACAACAACATTCGATGCCATAATGAAAGACTTAGCAATCATTCTGTAGTGTGAATTTACATGTATCGGGAAAGGCAGTCTCTCGTAAGGTCCGAAGTTTGTCTTTCACGGATTCAATCTCCCCCTGGAGCTCCAAAATAGTATCCAGCGCATGTTTAAGAATGGCGGCTTTTTTCACACGTTGAGGCATTTTGTCCGGCATGCCTTTATTACTTTGTGCACCAAGGCGATGGTGTAGAACAAGCTCCAATCGTAAAAACCTCTGCTTAAGATTTTCACGATATCGCTTTTCTATCTGACTGTGAGCCTTTTTTCGGTACAGTCCTTCACAAAAATGTTCACTTCCCGGTGTAAAATTTGGATTTTGAACACTTGCGGGTTCAAGAGTGATCTCCCCAGTGCCGATAGGGAAGTCGGAGAGAGATGTTTGGTAATTTGGTGGTGTCGTGTTGTAAGACTTTATGAGAGATGGGTTCTCTTCTGAA